GTCCATTTTTATATGTATCTTATATTTTTCATATTTACTTAATAGTACATTTTTATATTTATGTTTAGTCCATTGTTTTCTTGTTAAGTTAAAGTCTTGTCAATCAATAAAAAAATAATAATGATAATGATAACAATACTGACACGTTTGATTTATTTCACGTTTGTTTCTCCTGTCTAAGTTTAGCTTCTTGCTTTTAATTTCAAGTCACCAGAGATTTAGTCTGAGAATTCAACTAATAATAACAATCAATACAAAGACATTCAAATTCAAAATAACACTAGAATTCTTTCTCGTTTGTTCCTCCTGTTTTTGTCTAGTTACCTGTGTATTGAGTGACTTTAGCTCACCTGGCTCTGCCCTGATCAATACACTGACTTAAAGCTACTTCAGTACTTACTTTATTACCTTGTTTACATTCAACAATTATCATAATAAATATAAACAAATGAAAAAACAACAGTATGTATTTGATTTCTTTCAAGTTTGTTTTAGTCAACTATTTCATTTTAAATGCAACAGCACCAGCAAAAGTAGATTTTTTTTTACATTTCTGCTGATGTCCAGGTGTACAGTATATCAGTATGTAGTGTCTCTACTTTAAAGAGTCCTCTCCTGCTGATGTTCAGGTGTATATCAGTATGTAGTGTCTTTACTTTAAAGAGTCCTCTCCTGCTGATGTTCAGGTGTATATCAGTATGTAGTGTCTCTACTTTAAAGAGTCCTCTCCTGCTGATGTTCAGGTGTATATCAGTATGTAGTGTCTTTACTTTAAAGAGTCCTCTCCTGCTGATGTTCAGGTGTATATCAGTATGTAGTGTCTCTACTTTAAAGAGTCCTCTCCTGCTGATGTTCAGGTGTATATCAGTATGTAGTGTCTCTACTTTAAAGAGTCCTCTCCTGCTGATGTTCAGGTGTATATCAGTATGTAGTGTCTCTACTTTAAAGAGTCCTCTCCTGCTGATGTTCAGGTGTATATCAGTATGTAGTGTCTCTACTTTAAAGAGTCCTCTCCTGCATGTTCAGGTGTATATCAGTATGTAGTGTCTCTACTTTAAAGAGTCCTCTCCTGCTGATGTTCAGGTGTATATCAGTATGTAGTGTCTCTACTTTAAAGAGTCCTCTCCTGCTGATGTTCAGGTGTATATCAGTATGTAGTGTCTCTACTTTAAAGAGTCCTCTCCTGCTGATGTTCAGGTGTATATCAGTATGTAGTGTCTCTACTTTAAAGAGTCCTCTCCTGCATGTTCAGGTGTATATCAGTATGTAGTGTCTCTACTTTAAAGAGTCCTCTCCTGCTGATGTTCAGGTGTATATCAGTATGTAGTGTCTCTACTTTAAAGAGTCCTCTCCTGCTGATGTTCAGGTGTATATCAGTATGTAGTGTCTCTACTTTAAAGAGTCCTCTCCTGCTGATGTTCAGGTGTATATCAGTATGTAGTGTCTCTACTTTAAAGAGTCCTCTCCTGCTGATGTTCAGGTGTATATCAGTATGTAGTGTCTCTACTTTAAAGAGTCCTCTCCTGCTGATGTTCAGGTGTATATCAGTATGTAGTGTCTCTACTTTAAAGAGTCCTCTCCTGCTGATGTTCAGGTGTATATCAGTATGTAGTGTCTCTACTTTAAAGAGTCCTCTCCTGCTGATGTTCAGGGTGTATATCAGTATGTAGTGTCTCTACTTTAAAGAGTCCTCTCCTGCTGATGTTCAGGTGTATATCAGTATGTAGTGTCTCTACTTTAAAGAGTCCTCTCCTGCTGATGTTCAGGTGTATATCGGTATGTAGTGTCTTTACTTTAAAGAGTCCTACAATTAGATGGAAAACAGCTGCAAAGAGACAGAAAATTACAACAGAGACAATTAATCACCATAAAACAATATTTTAGTAGAGAAATGTTTTCATTGAAGTTAATGTGTTGAAGGGAATCCTGTAAAAAAAAGTTGTATTCAAAATGGCACTTTATCAAAATGCAATTGAGTGCAACTTCAACGTAACTGTATTTTTGGTTCCTATTAGATAAGATGTACTTTATTGATCCCAAATTGGGAAATGTTTGCGTTGCAGCAGCATAAAAAACAAGGCATTGCACATCATTAGAAATTAAAAGAGTAGAAATAAACATTTCAAAAATTTGAAACATATCAAAATAGAAATTAAAAAGTAGAAAATATGCATTTGACGTGAAGATGAAACATATATAGTAAATGTGAGGTAAAGTGTGTCGCCAATGTAACCGGTTAAAACTCAAAGTGGCGATGAGGTCTTAAAATGTATTAAATTTGACTTCAAGATTCCTGCATATACCCTGTTTCTACAAAAACGTGTTGACCAGCATAGTTGAATATAGCTATCCAACTTGTAAGCACAAAAAATCATTTAAAATGCCATTTATCAACACAGTTGCATGATATATATATGTATATATGTATATGTATATATGTATATATGTATATATGTATATATATATATACATATATATATATATATACATATATATATGTATGTATATATATATATACATATATATATGTATATGTATGTATATGTATATATATGTGTATATATATATACATATATATATGTGTATATATATGTATATATACACATCATATATTTATAAATCAGGCCCGTGGTGGATTTAATTTCGGCCCGCAGGATAATTTTTAATTACTATTAGATCTGGCCCGCCGGTATATTGCACGCACACCTTCACTCCATCCTGAGGGTCTCCTCAGCTCAGAACCTGAGCCCAAACATTGATGAACTTGCACCCAAGATGAGATGCCAAGTATCTGGCTTGAGCTAGCATCACAGAGCAGCACACTGAGTTTACATGGATGTTTCCTTCTGCACTTTCTTTCTTGAGACAATAGGGCATGTTTGGTTTGTTCTTTGAGGGAAATAGTTTTTTTGAAGCTGTTGTTGGCCTGTGGAGAAATGTAATCATAAGAAATGACTCTGCAGATAGAGCCATAAGAAATGAATGCAACTGATTATTTAATGTTTAATGTTTTCATAGGCAATAATTTAAGCTTTGTTAGTTCCAGGTTTAATATGTGCAATAAGTTCATTTCAATAAGTTTTGCAATAAACATTGAACCAGTCCGGCCCTCGACTAGTACCCATTTTTGGCCCACTGTGTATTTGAGTTTGACACCCCTGGTCTAGTGTGTTGAAAAAAGGCATGAATCATATTATAGTATGTCTAGAAATATAGTAAAAATAATAGGAAAATTCTCTATACTGAAAGAAAGTCAAAGTGTAGTATGTCAAAACAATATATATAAAATAGAACGTCAAAAATGTCATAAAAGAGAAATGGTATGATGAAAAATACATAAATAAATCATAGTGTATATAAAGTAGAAAAAGGTCATCGTATAAGTATGTCAATAATATCTTAAAACCCATAAGGACCCACCGTGACACCGGTGTCACATGACCTTTAAATGTTCTGGAAAGTTCCTTATACAGCTTTAGCCTTGTTTTTATCTCATGAAGTCCCTAAGTGACACACCCTGAACAGTCTGGTGGGTCATGGGCCAGGTCATGTGACTTTGTGTTCCCATGACAACATGTCCAAGATGTCCATGGGCCAGGTCATTTGATTCTGTGTTCCCATGACAACATGTCCAAGATGTCCATGTGCCAGGTCATTTGATTCTGTGTTCCCATGACAACATGTCCAAGATGTCCATGGGCCAGGTCATTTGACTTTGTGTTCCCATGACAACATGTCCAAGATGTCCATGTGCCAGGCTAACACATGTGACATAACGAGCTACATTTCAAAAGCTTTTTTGTTTGTTGCTAAAGGTCAAATTCAAGCCATTTAAGAATTAAAATGCTTACATAACATGTCCTTTATTACATTTAACCTGTTGTGGAAACATTTATTGATCAAATTGATATGAAACAAATGAGACAAACATCGCTGTTGGGGAAATATTTTCCAAGGCCCATAACTTTGACCCAGTTTATCAGTTCAAACTGTCCTGACTGAGCACACCTGTAGCCTTGGCTGCTGTGCTCTCAGTGTTTTGTCTCCCTGTTCCTGCCTGTTGGCGTCAGCTGATAGAGGTGTTATGATTATATCTTGTTATGCACAATGTGGATTATTCTCTCTGAACTAGCTAAATATATGGGTCTGGGGTAGAGTTTTTCAGAATTGATGTGGCAACTCTACCGTGAAGTCAGAACCTCTGACTCTGACTTGTTTTTGTGAATTCTCCGGCCGAAGCTCCTAAATAAACCATCAGTGTTTGACATCAAAGCTCCAGCTCTCCCCGTGTCTCCTTTTGAGTCGGTGACTCCTCCTGCATTGCTACACAGAAGTTTCCCCCACAACACTGATGCCACATCGGGACTTTAACCCTAAACTTTCACAGTAAACCCAAAGTGACATATATGCACAATTACAAATATGATTATGATCTGCTCAGTTAATTTAGCTGATTCAATTATATTTAGTTGATATGTTCTTTATTCTTCAATTCAAAGAATGTTCAAACTAATTTAAACCAAAAAATCATCCTCATTAATTAAGTTATAAATAAGAGTTACTTTACCATTAAAGCCCAATGGGACATATACGTCACTTTTCAGATATTTGACACTAGGGGGGGTTACCTGTCAGAAATGTGTTCTAGGTGGTCTATTTAGTCTAAATTATGTTCCCCTTAATTTCCCCAAAAGTAGAAACGGGTCCGGGTTCTTATGGGTTAAAAAATGAATAGTATGGTATCTCAGAATTTCTCAGAACCAAGTCACAGTATAGTCTGTTAGTATAAAAATGTCAAAAATATCTTGGTCAGTATGTCAGAATTTATGAGAAAAAGCCACAGAGTATGTTGGAAAATTCATAAAAAAATCATAGGTTAGTTTGTCGGAATGTATCTTCAAAACAATCATATGAAAGTCTGTCAAAATATAAAAAAACTACAAAAATAATCCGTTCCACTTCCGGCACAGCAGGTGGCGCCAAAGCCTCAACGTGACGTCACCACCAGGAGAAAACAAACATGGCCGACAGCGAGTACTTAATGGCTAAAGTTAGCGACAAGCGTTGGTAATTTCTGCGAAACTCTCAGTATTTGCTGCAGGTATTTGTACTTTACTGCACCCGATAGCTGTCACACTACACTCTGCTCCATCTCACACGTGATTTTGGAGTTTTAAGTTCAGTTTTGTCGGTCCGTAAAAGGCTTTTTCTAAAACCGGACGTTAGCATTAAGGGTTAGCCACGTTAGCATCCTGCATGCTTTTGTTTTTGTGATTTAATGCTACAGGACTGGCGTTTTTCTAACTGGATTTAAGCGTTTTAGGTGGATTTATCCCGGATTTGTTTTGTTTCGTATTGTTGGTGGGGTCCAACGAACAGCCAGCTCCCAAACAAAGCCATATTTCTTCTTAAAACGGACCTTTTTTGACCATCTGGACTATTTTTGTAGTCATTACGGGACTTACGGTGGATTTTCTCGGCAGTTTTGTTGAATTGTATTGCTGGTGTTCTCCATTTAGAACCAGCTCCCAAAGAAAACTATACTTTTCTATAAAACAGACACTACTTTGACCCTCTGGACTTCCCCTGTTTGTGATCATTTCTCCTGAAAACATGGACCCAAAACGCATTCACGGTAAACACCACATTAGTATCGGTGGAGGTGGAAACAGCAGCAGTGATTCAAGCTGCGAATCCCCGGCCTCTCCGTCTCATCTACCCGCAAACAGAGCCTCTCTGCCCGGGGGGAACGCCTTCGCAAACGACGGCAGCTTCATGGAGATGTTCAAGAAGAAGATGGAGCAAGAGGAGGAGAAGAAGAGGAAAAAGGAGAGCGAGCAAACGACGGCAGGAGGAGAAGATCAGCAGGAGGAAGGAGGACAGACTTCAGTGGAAAAGAAGCCCCCTCCAGTGACAAGCTTTGTAAGGGGTTTGGCAGTTGTAAGATGACACCTAAGTCATTACATCCTGAAATAATGGCAACTATTGCAGTCATTTTTGCTGCATTTCACAACTTGCAAGGACAGGCAGACATCAGTGGGAACAATGAACTTTGTACGGGGTTTGAAGAAGACTTTATTTATCCCTCACAGGGAGTTGTAAGATGAGAAAAAAGTAGCAAAAACATCCATATATAAACCACCATGACTCTAAGTGACACACATTACTTACAAGTGTCATTACACCCTGACATAATGGCAAATATGTCAGTCATTTTTGTTGCATTTCACCACGTATGCAATATTCAAAAGCTGTATTCTCATGTGCACAAGAGCTACAGAAACACCTTTTTACACAAAGCTCCTGCAACGTAAGACATACAACACATGAAGCTGGAAGATAGCGGTGATATTTGAGGGAGCAGTGGAGGGTAGGGATGCCCCTCATGGTGGCCGTGGTGCTGCGGCTGAATGTAGACCTTCTTCTGGTTTAGTCTTCTCCTTCATTGCCAGTCGGCTTCAGGGGCTCCTGTAACGGTTTCAGTCTTCTATCCCCTAACCCAGGTGGGGAAGCGCAGAGGCGGCGTGTTCCTAAAGACCGGCATGGTTGCGAAGAAGCTGAAAGACGAGACAGAAGTGAGTGTGGGGGGGGGGGGGGGGGGGGGTCGATGTGATGTGTGTAATTTGCATGGGTGAAATATGATGATATATAGACTTACACACTTGCATCTATTTTCACATTTAAACAGAGATGGCAAAAGTACACACATCCTTTACTCAAGTAGAAGTACAGATACTCGTGTTTAAAAATACTCTGGTGAAAGTAGAAGTACTGACTAAACTTCTTTACTCAAGTAAAAGTAAAGAGGGCTTTGAAATGTACTTCAGTAAAAAGTACCCATAACTAGCAGCTGTTTTAAAGAGTACCTGACCTCCCTTTATATTAATAGAACAATAATGTCATTGTTAGCTAATGAATGTTTCCATGCTGAACAACGGCAACATGACAACGTTTTCATTGGTCCCTCTTCTTTAGAGAAGACCAGGAAATGATGGATACACGGATCGTGTTCAAATCAATAGGCACGCAATGACTCTAAATAATAATGATCACGCCACCAAGCACACATTCAAACTAAAGGAACCAGCCTGTTTGGGAAATGTAAGAAGTAGAAAGTACAGGTATTTGTGTTCAACATGTAAGAAGTAGAAAGTACAGGTATTTGGGTTCAACATGTAAGAAGTAGAAAGTACAGGTATTTGTGTTCAACATGTAAGAAGTAGAAAGTTCAGGTATTTGGGTTCAACATGTAAGAAGTAGAAAGTACAGGTATTTGAGTTCAACATGTAAGAAGTAGAAAGTACAGGTATTTGTGTTCAACATGTAAGAAGTAGAAAGTACAGGTATTTGGGTTCAACATGTAAGAAGTAGAAAGTACAGGTATTTGTGTTCAACATGTAAGAAGTAGAAAGTACAGGTATTTGGGTTCAACATGTAAGAAGTAGAAAGTACAGGTATTTGAGTTCAACATGTAAGAAGTAGAAAGTACAGGTATTTGTGTTCAAAATGTAAGAAGTAGAAAGTACAGGTATTTGGGTTCAACATGTAAGAAGTAGAAAGTACAGGTATTTGAGTTCAACATGTAAGAAGTAGAAAGTACAGGTATTTGGGTTCAACATGTAAGAAGTAGAAAGTACAGGTATTTGGGTTCAACATGTAAGAAGTAGAAAGTACAGGTATTTGTGTTCAACATGTAAGAAGTAGAAAGTGAAAAGTAAGTAGTGGAGTAAAGTACTGTTACCAGAAACATGTACTTCAGTACAGTAATGAAGTATTTGATCTCCATTACTTCCCACCTCTGATTTTAAAGCACTGGAGGGTCAGCATCATGTTCTTAAACGATGTGTGTAATCTGCACGGGTTAAATATGAAGATAAATAGACGCCTGCTTTTTACATATATGTTCACATGTATAGCACTGGAGGGTCAGCATCATGCTCGTAAATGATAGACAGTTCTTAATTATATAACTGCAGACTTTTGCCAAACAAAAAGCAGAAATGTTGACTTGTTTTTAGGTGAAAAAGCACATTTCTGTTATCGTCTTAAATGCTAAGTAAAAACTACAAGTATCTTTTATTTATTTCATGATATCCTTCTTCTCAACTGGATTTCAGAAGCCAATATTGTACTTTAGTTACTCCACAAACTTTCTTTTTAAAGCGTAAGTTACTCTACAGATTCAGATGAGCAAATACCAAATTAAACCCAATGAATAAATACATATTTACATGTTTTTAGGAAATCCAACGCAGTATATAACATAATTAAAACTAGCTGCACCTTTACCAGCTTTGATAGCACATCAATAATCCAGTCATTTCATATATATGATTCTTTAATAGGACATAAGTACTTTTTTTTTGGTACTTTAAGTATATTATGATGCCATTTGTACTATGACTTGCATTAGGTTTTGACGATGTTGGTATCCAGTTATTTTAGGTATATTCTACTTTTACTTAACTAATAGATCTGAGTGCTTCCATTTTAAGTAGCATTAATAATCCTAATCCAGTCATTTCATCGCTCACCTCTTCAAACTGGCTTTTAATGTGTGATTGTTTTTGTATTGCTCGATTTTAATGTGACTTTAACTATATTTATCTACCTCTGAAAAGCGACTTTGAGCACCTGTAAAAGCGCCTAAAAAATAAATATATTATTATTATATATATATATGATTCTTTAATAGGACATAACAAGTACTTTTTTTTGGTGCTTTAAGTATATTTCGATGCCATTTGTACTATGACTTGCATTAGTTTTTTGACGATGTGGTAAATACTAATAGATCTGAGCATGAGCGCAGGAAGCATCCTCAATGTGGGTGGGACAATTTATGGTGTTGGGATATATATTTGAATCCTCTGGAGCAGAGAGGAGCTGTGGATTATTGATTAATGCATCAGTGTTTCTTAGGGTCAAAAACACTAAACTCACAACTTAATATGAAAGCGTTTAGTGTTTTTAACAAAAGAGCACATGACAGTAGATAGGTTAGTTGCAATTTGATGCCATATATATCTTTAAAAATTTAAATTAAAGTGAACTCTCCTCCACCCCTCAGAGAGTCCTTCACCTCACTGAGCTGTAGTTAGTTATCAGCCTCTCAGTCTGACAGAGGACTCTCCCTCCACCTCGTTAATAACAGCGCCTTATATCCGGGTGCTAGTGGAGCACGCTCGTGAACTGTTAGCGCCGGAGCCTCGCAGTGTGGAAACTGTGGCAAGCATCATTTTACAACTAAAGACACAGCGACACAAAACACGCAGCATGTGTACGGCTCGTGTGTACGGCTCTGAGAATCTGCCTTGGTACAAAGTAGCAGTGAAAACACGGCACGGAGTTTCATTGATTTGGGCGTTCTCACAATAAGCAAGTGGAATGGATTTGATAATGAAGCACTGACACAGCGCTCTACAGAGAGCGGCGAGTGGACAGACCGATGCACGGACTTTCCGCATAGTAAAAGTGGGGGGGGTCTAAACTAATCATTTGAAAAGGTGTCCCTCCCTCATATAATGGCTGCGACGCCCATGAATCCGAGTGCTTCTTCCATCTTTGACTCTACGTTAATCCCCTTGTGTTTCCTTCTTCCTCAGCGAGAGCCAGGCAAGAGCGATGCCTGGTCATCGTACATGGCCGAGGTAAAAAAGTACAAAGCTCACCAGTGTGGCGACGACGATAAAACCCGACCTCTCGTCAAGTAAAAACTCCGTCAGGCGGGATCAAACTCCAAAGTGTTGAGAGGGAAAAGCCACCTGGAGACGTTCCTCTCTTCAGACTTCCTGTTCCAGAATCCTCTCACGACGTCTCTCACAAACTGCTTCAGACCTCCTTCCTTCCTTTTTGTATTTCATGTACTTTATTTTGGTTTGTTTGTTTCGTCAGAAGGTGTTTCAGGATCTTACCGTTTTATTTTTTGATCATAACTGTTTCATGTTTTCAATTCTTTGTCTGGGTTCGGTTTGGGCATCTTCAATTAGTTTGGATTTGATTTTAAAGCCGAATCAAGGTGTCAATTAAATCTACACTGCCCAATGACGCGTGGTGTTGTGCTTCAGTTTTGTTTGATCCTCTTACAGACGCTACCTTAAAGGAATGTTTTCAATAACTCACCCTGTTACCTTTTTAAAAGAGGCCCTATTTTACTTTTTGAGGACTCTTTAAAGTAGAGACACTACATACTGATATACACCTGAACATCAGCAGGAGAGGACTCTTTAAAGTAGAGACACTACATACTGATATACACCTGAACATCAGCAGGAGAGGACTCTTTAAAGTAGAGACACTACATACTGATATACACCTGAACATCAGCAGGAGAGGACTCTTTAAAGTAGAGACACTACATACTGATATACACCTGAACATCAGCAGGAGAGGACTCTTTAAAGTAGAGACACTACATACTGATATACACCTGGGGCCTCATTTATAACGCCTTGCGTAGGATTGACGTGAGAAGGTTGCTTACGTAGTACAAAGCAAAAAAATAGGTACAGAAATGTTCCGACATTTTCCGATTCACAAAACATTGCGTACCGGCGAGGGAAGTGCGTACCGGCACTTCCTACGCCTGTTTCCCTTTATAAATCACAATCGACTCGAAATGCGGCGCAGCTTTTGCAGGCTTCACGTAACGCCCATATTTGCCTATAAATAGTCAAAGAAACGCCCATTCATTCATTCATTTTGACTGACTGCATCAAGAAGATCGCAGGAAATTACGACCGAACAGCTAAAAAAGACATCTCACACCGTGTCAGATTTTGGTTATTTTGGGGAGGTGGAGATAAATCATATTGTTTGGTGGATGCAGTTTGAACCAGAGTAGCAGCATGGAGGTCGGATCGTCACCAAAATAAATAAATAAGTGGTCCGAAAAAAGTTAATGACAAAAAAAATACACATAACCTTCCTCATGCAGTGTGTTTGTCCCGGGGACAGGAGACACCCCCTTGATGAGAAACTGTAAGAAATGATCGGGGAATCCCTCCGGAGTGTAGTCATGACGACTGGATCTGAATTATTTTGTTGTATTTGGTGGTTTGTGTTCCAGCTGTCGATCAGCAACTATATATCCATAATCCACCAGTTAAAGGAAATACAACTAATGTGTTGTGTTATATTAGCTGTACAATTTACCACATAGGTGTTCTTAGTGTCCATACCTCCTGTGTTTTACGAGCGACTTATCAAGTCTTGGCAAACGGCATAAAACACGATTAAACGTGATAGTATATAAAACCATGCTCGTATCTACAACCTATAGAAATGCAAAACGGCGTCAGTTTAGACGTAATTCTGTCCTCCTGCTTACCGCATCATTTATGAGAAAACATTTCATAACATTAACACAACATATTCGAGGTGGTTTTAAATAACATATCCGTATTTATTTATTTCTCCAAGTTATGTTTTTGTGTGCACTGAGGAGTCGCAAACAGGCGTTTGTTTAATCATTTTAAGATTGGCTTTAATCAATGTTTGAAAATGAATTCTTCATATGATAAATGAGAGGTAACATTTTATTTATTTCCACATATTTCTCTCCATTCTTCCTTCTGCCAACGGTGTCGCAGTTTCTCGTCTCTCCCGTTGTTGTGCTTAGTGCGTACGCATGGGTTAGAGTTTGCGTGGAGGACCGGACATTTTCCCGTCAAGTTAGTATTTTATAAATCGCAAACATTGCGTAGAAACTGGCGTACGCCATTTTTTGAGCGTATATCCCTTTATAAATGAGGTCCCTGAACATCAGCAGGAGAGGACTCTTTAAAGTAGAGACACTACATACTGATATACACCTGAACATCAGCAGGAGAGGACTCTTTAAAGTAGAGACACTACATACTGATATACACCTGAACATCAGCAGGAGAGGACTCTTTAAAGTAGAGACACTACATTCTGATATACACCAGGGGCCTCATTTATAACGCCTTGCGTAGGATTGACGTAGGAAGGTTGCTTACGTAGTACAAAGCACAAAAATAGGTACATACATTTTCCGCCATTTTCCGATTCACAAAACGTTGCGTACCGGCGAGGGAAGTGCGTACGGCACTCCCTACGCCTGTTTCCCTTGATAAATCACAATCGACTCGTAACGCCCATATTTGCCTATACATAGTCAAAGAAACGCCCATTCATTCATTCATTTTGACTGACTGCATGAAGAAGATCGCAGGAAATTACGATAGAACAGCTAAAAAAGACATCTCACACCGTGTCAGATTTTGGTTATTGTGGGGAGGTCGAGATAAATCATATTGTTTGGTGGATGCAGTTTGAACCAGAGTAGCAGCATGGAGGTCGGATCGTCACCAAAATAAATAAATAAGTGGTCCGAAAAAAGTTAATGACAAAACAAATACACATAACCTTCCTCAGGCAGTGTGTTTGTCCCGGGGACAGGAGACACCCCCTTGATGAGAAACTGTAAGAAATGATCGGGGAATCCCTCCGGAGTAGAGTCATGACGACTGGATCTGAATTATTTTTGTTGTATTTGGTGGTTTTGTGTTCCAGCTGTCGATCAGCAACTATATATCCATAATCCACCAGTTAAAGGAAATACAACTAATGGATTGTGTTATATTAGCTGTACAATTTACCACATATGGTGTTCTTAGTTTCCATACCTCCTGTGTTTTACGAGCGACTTATCAAGTCTTGGCAAACGGCATAAAGCACGATTAAACGTGATAGTATATAAAACCATGCTCGTATCTACAACCTATAGAAATGCAAAACGGCGTCAGTTTAGACGTAATTCTGTCCTCCTGCTTACCGCATCATTTATGAGAAAACATTTCATAACATTAACACAACATATTCGTGGTTTTAAATAACATATCCGTATTTATTTATTTCTCCAAGTTATGTTTTTGTGTGCACTGAGGAGTCTCAAACAGGCGTTTGTTTAATCATTTTAAGATTGGCTTTAATCAATGTTTGAAAATGAATTCTTCATATTTGATAAATGAGAGGTAACATTTTATTTATGGTATTATTTCCACATATTTCTCTCCATTCTTCCTTCTGCCAACGGTGTCGCAGTTTCTCGTCTCTCCCGTTGTTGTGCTTAGTGCGTACGCATGGGTTAGAGTTTGCGTGGAGGACAGCACATTTTCCCGTCAAGTTAGTATTTTATAAATCGCAAACATTGCGTAGAAACTGGCGTACGCCATTTTTTGAGCGTATATCCCTTTATAAATGAGGTCCCTGAACATCAGCAGGAGAGGACTCTTTAAAGTAGAGACACTACATACTGATATACACCTGAACATCAGCAGGAGAGGACTCTTTAAAGTAGAGACACTACATACTGATATACACCTGAACATCAGGAGAGGACTCTTTAAAGTAGAGACACTACATACTGATATACACCTGAACATAAGCAGGAGAGGACTCTTTAAAGTAGAGACACTACACACTGATATACACCTGAACATCAGCAGGAGAGGACTCTTTAAAGTAGAGACACTACACACTGATATACACCTGAACATCAGCAGGAGAGGACTCTTTAAAGTAGAGACACTACATACTGATATACACCTGAACATCAGCAGGAGAGGACTCTTTAAAGTAGAGACACTACACACTGATATACACCTGAACATCAGCAGGAGAGGACTCTTTAAAGTAGAGACACTACATACTGATATACACCTGGACATCAGCAGGAGAGGACTCTTTAAAGTAGAGACACTACATACTGATATACACCTGAACATCAGCAGGAGAGGACTCTTTAAAGTAGAGACACTACATACTGATATACACCTGAACATCAGCAGGAGAGGACTCTTTAAAGTAGAGACACTACATACTGATATACACCTGAACATCAGCAGGAGAGGACTCTTTAAAGTAGAGACACTACATACTGATATACACCTGAACATCATCAGGAGAGGACTCTTTAAAGTAGAGACACTACATACTGATATACACCTGAACATCAGCAGGAGAGGACTCTTTAAAGTAGAGACACTACTGATATACACCTGAGAGAGCAGAATATATCTCTTTGAAATCGTACAGACAACCTTTTATAATTGGCTTTTACTTTAAGAGTTTGTAGACATGTTTGATTTGGAGCAAAACGCGGCCCTTATTTACCCAATTCATCAAGGTTTTTGATTCACTGGAGGCATTTAAGAGAAGCAATGAATCACAGGATGAAGAATTGATATACAAATGATCCTTTTTTTGGGGTGAAATACTCCTTTAGGTGCTCAGAAAAACATTGGTTTCAACCCCAAACCCTTCACTGTCATTTGACTTCAATGCAAAACCCTGTTAAAGAATTTCAGACTTCAAGTGACTCCGTTGTGAAGGGAAATTATTTAATTAAAAGCAGGTTCGAGTTCTATACAGAATTTCATTAAAGAGTTCAAGTACAATAAAAAAAAAAGAAAAAAGCGTACAGCTCTCATTGAAAAAACAAAAAACTAAAATACAGGTATCAGTGATAATTACATGATAAAAACAGACAAACTGACCATGCATCAGAGAGGGAGACACACGAAGGCACACGCTCAATCCCAGCTACCAAAACCTTTCACACACACACACTCGTACACACACCTAAAAATCCCATTCATCCTTCTCCCTGTCCACAGTGATATAGGTCTATCTTGTAAACATTGACAACTGTTTGTCATTTCATTTTGCGGCATAGAGCGGTGCAGGAATGAGTCCTAAAACCCGAAAAGGAGTCAGCATTTTTAGCACTTCCTGATCCCTCATCTAAAAGTCAATGTTTTTTTTTACTTGTTTTTGGTTTTGAGCCTGAAATAAGGTCAGTGGGCAACACGAACATGAACTTATTTTACTTCACGCTAGCCCTAAGAGTTGTTTCGAGCCAAATGGAAAGTTTAAGGTCAGCAGGACTGCCTGAATCATAATTTTAGCTTTTAACCGACACGTCACATGTGGACTGGATTCAAGCTGAGGATGTTGTTACATGTTGTCAGGGTTAAAGGAATGGCCAACAAAACGTAAAAAAATCCAACTTATACTTAGTTTTCCGGTCGCTTTGCTCTCTGATGGATCTTGCTAAACAACATCCGGGGCAGTTTATTGTATTCTAGTAAACCACAGGTATCTTACGTCAACACTGAACATGTCTCTCTCGTTTATCTTCAGACGCTGCGTCTCAATGTCTGAACTTCTGTGCTCACATAACTGCGTCAGTAAATACCTGGTGAATTTAAAAACAGCGGTTGCTAACAAGTGTCTAAATGAGACGACTAAACGCCACCACGACCAACATTAGCCGCCTTTAGCTTAGCGGCACGAAGTCATGTGACCGTGCTGTAGTTAATTTATTGCCTGATGTTACTTTCTGCAAGTGGTGTTAATGTGCGGAGATTCTCCTGCTGATCAAAACATGTAAGTATCATATTTGATACAGAGGTCATTTTTTTCAATAATCCAAAATCACATGAAGAAGAAATCCCATTGGCTTTTTGCAGAGGGAACAGAGAGGAGCTAACTTCCGGGTCAACCTACAAAAATATGTCATCCCTGCACCACCCTATAGTATTTAAACGTTATCAAATCACCTTAAAAAAAGTTATATTTCACTGTGGTTTTTATGAAAAGTGGATCCTCTCAGATCCAGGAAGTGTAACACGGTGCTCCTTTTATTAGAGTCCTCCGTCCCCTGAAGCTCCTCCTGAGTCTACTCCTGGTCCTTTCCTGACCCCGGGGTATCATAGCGTCTTCCTCTTAGCGTCGCCCCCCTGGCTTTGAGTGACATCTGGATGGGAGACAAAACACATGTTAGAAGGTCTATTATGCAAAATCCTCTTCTTCATGTCTCTTCTACATCAATATGTGTCCCCTCTTCTTCATGTCTCTTCTACATCAACATGTGTCCCCTCTTCTTCATGTCTCTTCTACATCAACATGTGTCCCCTCTTCTTCATGTCTCTTCTACATCAACATGTGTCCCCTCTTCTTCATGTCTCTTCTACATCAACATGTGTCCCCTCTTCTTCATGTCTCTGCTACATCAACATGTGTCCCCTCTTCTTCATGTCTCTTCTACATCAACATGTGTCCCCTCTTCTTCATGTCTCTTCTACATCAACATGTGTCCCCTCTTCTTCATGTCTCTTCTTCATCAACATGTGTCCCCTCTTCTTCATCAACATGTGTCCCCTCTTCTTCATGTCTCTTCTACATCAACAAGATTCTCTCTCTTTTTGTCCTGATCCATTTCTATAAAAACCTGTCTGAAAATGAGCTGATCAGATTTTGGCCACTTTATGATGTCATAACGATGTTTTGGCTTGTGTAACCATTAGCCAATCAGCAACCAAGGTAACCCCCCCCCCCACCTTATCACCTGAATCTCCTCCTAGAGCACCATTGTGTTCTTTTTAACCAAATATCTCTCAGAGGGGCGTGGGGAGGGGCTCCTTATTTTCATCTAAAGTAACAGACAGAGAATCAGCACTTTGGAAACAGGGCTGAAACAGAGGGGATTATGGGATGCTGCAATGATCTGTTTGGTGTTTCAGCCAATCAGAGACAGGCTCTGGATATATCTGAGACCTGTGATATATTGATGAAGAACAGTATAATAGGAATTGGAAAATTGGAAAAGACATAATGGACGACAGATAAAAATGAGTGCATGAAGACATGCTGACACCAACAAACAAGCAACAGGACGAGGACACCAGACACTTGAGAGGGGGAGGAGACGGAGGGGGGGGGGGGGGTTCATGGAGCAGGCTTTGAGGGGGGGAGGGAGGGGGAGATTTTACCTGAGAAAGCGAGCTGCAAGTGAGGAGGCAGAGCAACCTGAGACCCTGACTGGAGACTCTTATACAGATCTGAGGAGACAGCACAAGGGAACAAGGAGGGAAGGGAAGGAGGGAAGGGAAGGAGGTGAGGGAGGGAGGTGGGAGGTGGAAGGTAACGACAGCCCAACAGAGGAGGAGGAGGAGGAGGAGGAGGAGGGGGTAGAAGAACAATGAGGTGAAATATATGTGGAAAAGAGGGAGGAATTTTGGGGGAAATGAAGCAAACAAAATGGAGAATGTCAGACAGGAGAAAAATCACATCTGACAAACAGTATGGTGAAACAGACGCTAACATAAAACACAGAACAACAACACACTGCCTGATGCGTCAACAAATACTTCACTTAGGCTGGAGCCACACGAGAGCGGTAACAGTCGTATGCGCTACAGTTCTCTATCAGATAGACGGTTCGGCCACACGAGGCCGACAGGGAAACGCAGATAGCGATAACGGGTCCCAAGGTGGGTAGGTCTGCGGACGAAACGCTCTGGGGGCCAAGCGGCTCCGTGTCTACGCCCTATACGATCATTTTCTGATAACGATGACGCAATAGCCCCGCCTCCCCCCCACCTCTCCTGCTCACCCCCGTGTCACCCGCGTCATTGCTGATGTGTTTCGCCAACAACAACAACAGTTTTCCGAGTGTTTCGAGCCAGGTCCCGGTATCTCCAGCAGACCCCCCCCCCCGCACGGCAGAGTTTCTGTTAAACGAAATCTAAAATTCTCCAGTCAAAATGTCGCTTATTGTTTAGGTGTCCTTTGACACTCAGGCAGTCATATCATTAGCTAGAACTAGCTAGATCTGATCGATATGGACATAAACGCGAGTGAAGTGGAGGTGTGTGGTGCAGTGGGTTGTGCGTATGTGTTGGGATCAGGGGAGCACAGGTTCAAACCCCACTGCAGTCAGCATGTCGTTGTGTCCCTGAGACACTTCACCCCAAATTGCTCCTGTGGGGATTGTCCACAGTATTGAGTATGCAAGTCGCTTTGGATAAAAGCGTCTAACAAGTGACATGTAATGTAATGTAGTGAAGTCTAATCGGAGAGGAGAGAGAGATCAGAGATCAGCTGCTGACGGAGAAAAAGAGCCCTGCCTCTCCCCACCTCTGCTGCTAAATCCACCGTGGAGAATAATCAGAAGGGCAACCATGGCAACCATGCTCGGAAGTCTTGTTCGCTGCTTTTGGTGTATTTTGTGGCGGAAGTACAGCGCCACTTACAGGCCCGGCATATGTACTACAGCGTCTCCAGCGGGTCGAGCGGTCTCGTGTGGACGGAAGACTTTTTTGAAAACGATTTCGGTTCGTTTGCGTTACCGTTCTCGAGTGGCTCCAGCCTTAGACTCTAACGATGCATATGAAGTACCGGCAACCTACTTTTTTTAAGAAGAACCCACATTTTCTTATACGTACACTACATAATATCTCAATTGTTAAACCTCATCATTACAATTGAAAAGGTTTAGAAGTACAGAAGTATTACAAGCTAAAATGTACTTTAAGTATTAAGTATGCTGAATGGCTTGTAGTCAAATATTATCAACGTTTTTTTACACATGTCAATTTAATGCTATTGTTTGTCATTGTTGAGCCAGTTTTACAATATGTTCCTCCAAATGGTGGAGTAGAAGTATATTTAACATAAAACGGAAATACTCAAGTAAAGTACAAGTACGTCAAAACAGTACTTAAGTTAATGTACTTAGTGACACGCCCCACTAGCTTTTAATGTGTTAAAATGAGCTTTTAGTGCCGTGTGATTATAGTGATATCCGTAACGCTTTACGACAATAATCTTCAAAATATAAGAATAAAGGTTTTTTTACACGTGATGTCAATTTAATGCTGCGGTTGTTGTACTTTGTATGATGACAATACAGATATATTCTATTCTTCTAGTCTTGTTGAGCCAGTTTTATTATATTTTCCTCCAAATGGTGGAGTAGAAGTACGTGTAGCATTTAATGGAAAAACTCAAGTAAATCATCTAAAAAAGAAAGTTATAAAAACTTGAGAAAAATCGTTTTTTTTTTTACATTAAACAACTTGAAATGTTGGTATGTGAGGTTTGTAACGACTCACTCTGAGTGAGGGTGGAGAAGGCGGCGCTGTTTGCTGCGTTGCTGCTGTTGGAGGAGGAGGAGCTGAGAGGAGGAAGGTTCAGCAGCTGGGGGAACTGGAAGGGCAGCGAGACGGGAACCAGACCCCCCAACATCCCAAAGCCCAGCCCGAGGGGGGAGCCGGAGCCCAGCAGACCACCCCCTGCTGTGGAGACCTGGGGATGGGGGATAATGTTAGAACAACTGTATTTAAGATATTTTAAAGGTCACCTATTATGCAAAATCCTCTTCTTCATGTCTCTTCTACATCAACATGTGTCCCCTCTTCTTCATGTCTCTTCTACATCAACATGTGTCCCCTCTTCTTCATGTCTCTTCTACATCAACATGTGTCCCCTCTTCTTCATGTCTCTTCTACATCAACATGTGTCCCCTCTTCTTCATGTCTCTTCTTCATCAACATGTGTCCCCTCTTCTTCATGTCTCTTCTTCATCAACATGTGTCCCCTCTTCTTCATGTCTCTTCTACATCAACATGTGTCCCCTCTTCTTCATGTCTCTTCTACATCAACATGTGTCCCCTCTTCTTCATGTCTCTTCTACATCAACATGTGTCCCCTCTTCTTCATGTCTCTTCTACATCAACATGTGTCCCCTCTTCTTCATGTCTCTTCTACATCAACATGTGTCCCCTCTGTGGAAAGAGACTCTGAACGTTTCAGGATAAAAGATTCTCTCTCTTTCAGCAACCCAGGTTTAAAACAAATGGAAGCTTTTTATACGCACAATGACATACATCAATGCAAAGACGTCCACATTGAGTTAAACGTTAGTGGAAGATGTGCATCTCCTTACATCAGCGAGATGAAGACACCAAGCTGTGTGCACTCACAGAAGATGTTAATTATGAACCTCGAGTTTACATCATATTTGGGTTTTCTGCAACAGGAACAGGAAGTCCCAGAGCTGCAAACACTCAAAGTATCTGTAATTGAACAGGTACTGTGAAGTGGAAATGTGCTTTGAGTTTAGTCTGAACAAACCTTCACAGTTAGTCCAAATTCTTTACAAAAACATAAGAAAAGTGACTTAAATGTGATTCTGCTGACACTGATGAGAGACGTGTCAATCACAAGAACAAAAGGAAGCACACACTCCATGTTTCTGCTGTAAACACACTCTCACACACACCTGTGGTAGCTGAGAGGAGACGGAGGACGACGTGATGGACACGACCGGTTTGGCCCCCTGAGAAGTCCCGCCCCCGAGCCTCTGACGCTGCCCCTGATTGGCCGAGATGATGATGGGGGAGGCACTGGATCCTGAATGCTTGCTGATGATGGATGAGGCGTTAATAAGGCTGGTGTTGGTGGTGCTGCTGCTGCTGTTGTTGGGGGTCTTCTGCCCCCCCGGGGGAGTGTAGCTGCCCGGCTTCACCACCTGGACTCCTGAGAACTGGGGGGGGGCGGAAAGGGGTTTTGGCGGAGTACTGGTGGAGGGGGGGGGCGGCCTGAGACGTTTGGGGGAGGGTTTGGGAGATGACGGGGGAGGCGGAGGTCGTGGTGACGAGGGTGGGGCGGGCGGTGAGCTTCACGATGCTGCTGTGCGTGGATTTTGTGAGGGTGGCGTGCATCGGGGTGATGAAGTTAGACTGTGGTTGAGGAAGGGGGGTCGAGGGTTTAGAGAGGGGGAGGGGGGAGAGTTTAGAGAGGGAGAGGGAGGGTTTAGAGAGGGAGAGGGAGGGTTTAGAGAGGGGGAGGCGGGGGGACTGCTGGAAGGTTTTAGGGATCATGTGGGGGGAGGAAATGAGGGTGTGAGGACGAGGCGAGGTGATAATGATGGTTTCCCCCGGTTTGTTATTGCTGCCTTTGAGTAGGGGGGATTGGGAGGGGGGGGGGTTTTGACCCGGGGGCTATGAGGGGAGACGAGGTGGGGGGGGGGGCGAGGTTTGGGGAGAGACACAGAGGCGACCATGTTGGCTTTAGACACCCCAACAGATAAAGGTAAAGTCCTGGAAGTGTTCAGCACCGAGAGTCTGTGCGCCACCCCCATCCCGTCCACTCTGACCGAGGGGAGGGGGGCGGAGGTGACGGAGAGGGGGCGGGTCAGGGGGGGTGGAGGTGACGGAGAGGGGGCGAGTCAGGGGGGTGGAGGTGACGGAGAGGGGGCGAGTCAGGGGGGTGGAGGGGGAGGAGATGGGTGGTCGGGAGAGTGGGGTGGAGGGGGAGGAGGAGGTAGAGATGTAGAGAGCTGGGCTGAGCGAGTTCTTCTTATGCTGCTGGAGGAGGATCGGAGAGGCGTGGAGCTGGAGCTGGGAGGGTTTGAAGGTGGGGGTGAGGGTCTGGATGAAGGTGGGTTTGGGTCTGTCGGGGGAGGGGGGGCTGTCTCCCTGAGCGAGGCCCTTGGCGGCGTTCCCCAGGATGGCCAGAGCCTGAGAGATGGAGTCGAGAGACGGGACCGTCAGCTGGTCGTCAGATGAGTCCAGACAGATGGTCTCAGACGGAGACAGAGGCGATCGCTTAGCAACCTGAGTGGCAGGAGACTGGACCAATGGAGTCGAGCGCTGCATCCACACCGCCTCCTGCAGGGCGAGACACATGTTTATACATCAATGACAAAGTCTACACTACCAGTCAAAAGTTTGGACACACCTTCGAAGTTTTTTATTTATTTTAATTTTGTCTATATTGTACATGTATACTGAAGACATCAAAACTATAAAAGAACACATATGGAATTATCTAGTAAACAAAAAAGTGTTAAAGAATGCAGAATATGATTTATATGATACGACTAAAGACACTCGTACACACACCTAAAAATCCCATTCATCCTTCTCCCTGTCCACAGTGATATAGGTCTATCTTGTAAACATTGACAACTGTTTGTCATTTCATTTTGCGGCACAGAGCGGTGCAGGAATGAGTCCTAAAACCCGAAAAGGAGTCAGCATTTTTAGCACTTCCTGATCCCTCGTCTAAAAGTCAATGTTTTTTTAACTTGTTTTTGGTTTTGAGCCTGAAATAAGGTCAGTGGGCAACACGAACATGAACTTATTTTACTTCACGCTAGCCCTCAGAGTTGTTTCGGGCCAAATGGAAAGTTTAAGGTCAGCAGGACTGCCTGAATCATCATTTTAGCTTTTAACCGACACGTCACATGTGGACTGGATTCAAGCTGAGGATGTTGTTACGTGGGCCCGGTTTAACTATAAGGCCGCACTACAGGGTTAAAGGAATGGCCAACAAAACGTAAAAAATCCAACTTATACTTAGTTTTCCGGTCGCTTTGCTCTCTGATGAATCTTGCTCAACAACATCCGGGGCAGTTTATTGTATTCTAGTAAACCACAGGTATCTTACATCAACACTGAACATGTCTCTCTTGTTTATCTTCAGACGCTGCGTCTCAATGTCTGAACTTCTGTGCTCACATGAGTGCATAACTGCGCCGCAGTGCAGCTGAAGAGGTTTTAAATGTTGGTCTACGACAGAAGGAAAGCACTTCACAAATTGCAGTACCCATAAGGAGCTGTTTACAAATGCCGCAGTTTTTGCGTGGCTGTGTCTTTAGTTGAAAGCCCAGTGACGATCTGCTCATCTCTCATCGAAAGTAATATGCTACAAAAGGGCGGACTGGCCATCTGTGTGTTGAACTTTCCGGTCGGCTCCCAGACCGTAGTCGAGGAAACAGGGGGGATGACTCTCTGTCGTCTCCCAGGGCAGAAGCAACAAGCTTCAGGTTCAATAACCCACTTTAGCTTAAATGACTGGAGAGAGGCGAGCTCTTCTTGGGAGGCCGTTGCATTTATTTAGCTGTTCTTCTGTTTCACAAAATACATCACAGACCTGTTTTTCTGCTGCCTCGTTTCACTTCCAGAAACATGCACACGCTCCCTCACTCTCGCTCTACCATCCATCCATCCATCCACACACACACACACACACACACACACACACACATACCACACCCCTCTCTCTCTCTCTCTTAAAGGGACAGCGATCTCATCTCACTCTGCATGACCCTAATATCATAACGTGTGTGTTCTGGAGAATCACAGAACGGACGATCGTCCTTATTATTATGCTCTTTAAACCAATTATTTAAATTTGATTTTATTTACACGATCGTCGGCACGCTGATAACATTTTTTTTTTTTTTTTTAAATGGCACTTCATATCAAAAAGGTTGCCAACCCCTGTTCTACGACATTGAAATAGGTCAGTAAATACCCCACTGGTGGATTTTATAAACAGTGGGCGCTAACAAGTGTCTAAATGAGACGACTAAACGTCATCACGCTCAACATTAGTCTCCTTTAGCTTAGCGGTGGTGACGTGAAGTCATGTGACCGTGCTGTAGTTCCTTTATAGCCCAACATTAGCCGCCTTTAGCTTAGCGGTGGTGACGTGAAGTCATGTGACCGTGCTGTAGTTCCTTTATAGCCTAACATTAGCCGCCTTTAGCTTAGCGGTGGTGACGTGAAGTCATGTGACCGTGCTGTAGTTCCTTTATAGCCTAACATTAGCCACCTTTAGCTTAGCGGTGGTGACGTGAAGTCATGTGACCGTGCTGTAGTTCCTTTATAGCCCAACATTAGCCACCTTTAGCTTAGCGGTGGTGATGTGAAGTCATGTGACCGTGCTGTAGTTCCTTTATAGCCCAACATTAGCCACCTTTAGCTTAGCGGTGGTGACGTGAAGTCATGTGACCGTGCTGTAGTTCCTTTATAGCCCAACATTAGCCACCTTTAGCTTAGCGCTGGTGACGTGAAGTCATGTGACCGTGCTGTAGTTCCTTTATAGCCCAACATTAGCCGCCTTTAGCTTAGCGGTGGTGACATGAAGTCATGTGACCATGTTGTAGTTCCTTTATAGCCCAACGTTAGCCGCCTTTAGCTTAGCGGTGGTGACATGAAGTCATGTGACCATGTTGTAGTTCCTTTATAGCCCAACGTTAGCCGCCTTTAGCTTAGCAGTGGTGACATGAAGTCATGTGACCGTGCTGTAGTTCGTCGTTATGATGATAGCATTTACTCTTCAACTATTATAAAAGTGGTGTTAAAATGTGGATATTATCCGGCTGAACCAAACTTGAAAGTATCATTAACGTGAGCTTGCCACAGAGATGTATTCCAAAATCGAATTAAAAAAAATCCCATTGGTTTTGATATTGATTCCCATTGATATAGAAACAAGTCTGACCTTTGATTTGGCTTTGGGAGTAGAGACCATCTTTTTCTTTGCCCTGCAGCGAGAAAACATCACAAGTGAGTGAGAAGAAGCTTTACAAGTCAGAGTTAGTTATATGTTGATAAAAAGTCACATGACTCACGTGTAGCCTGTGATGTGACCATGAGCCATGATGCTCTCTTTGAACAGCATCCTGGAAACACAAATAAACACAAATACAATATTAACACAAGCTGCGGTGGAGATTAAATTCACTGAAGTATTTTATTTAAAGTGGACCTATCATGCTATATTTGAATAATATAGTGTAGGACCATACCTATATAAGGCATATTTATACTTTTTTTTTTTCAAAATACCAAACAGATCATGCATTTTAGCCATGCCTCATTTCGCTCAATTTGACATTTTTTAGCTCTGTTTTTGCAAGGGCTGATTCAGTGAGAACAGCACCATCTACAGGCCAGGCATATGTACTACAGCGTCTCCAGCGCTTTCGAACGGCAATGGCCGTGGCTGTCTCCTCCTGATTGGTGGAGTTGGCCCAATAGCCGTAGCGCCACTGTCCTGACGTCAGGACAGTGTTCAAATCTGGATCAGTTTTTATCAGATCCGTTGCAGCCCCTTTTTTAGAGATTTGGGTATGGAGGAAAATAGAGAGGGTTGTGTTTTCTGACACTTGGTGAGTTCCCTGGAACACCGGGGACACATATTCATGTATACAAGACGTACAAAAGTGCATTTTACATGATAGGTCCCCTTTAAGTATTTCTATCCAATGCTATTAGGTAAAAGCAAGTAAAAGCCATAGATGAGGACATGTAATAAATCATGTAGTTATTGAGAATAGTTTTCAGTAAGACACACACCTGGCCTGCATCCAGCCTTTGGGCCAGAGCGGCTTCACCTCCGTCTCCATGAAGGCTTTGAGGTAATCCTCCAGAGAGAGAGAGTTCTTCCCCTCCAGCTCGTAGCAGCCCAGCTTCACCCGCACCAGAGTACACAGCAACAACCTGAGAACAACACAACACACTTTATTAGAACACAACACAACACTCTCCATCACAACACAACACTCTCCATCACAACACAACACAACACTCTCCATCACAACACAACACTCTCCATCACAACACAACACTTTCCATCACAACACAACACTCTCCCTCGGTGACACTGACCTGAGCTTGTCGTCCCAGACAAATTTCTTGCGAGGACCCATCACCCTCTTCCCCGGCTTCTCCTCGTCTTCGTCCTCAGAGCCGTTCTTCTCCGCCTCGCCCGACTGCTGCCTGTCAACACACAAGAAATGACATCAACAAATCTGTAGAGCTGTACTGAATGACTATTGTTTAAACAAAAATGATGTATATGTGCCAAAGCAAACAGATATGACAGCTGTTATAAAAATGTGTTTATGACTCAACAACATGGGATCTTACTTTGCCACTTTAGCGATACAGTCCATGTTGTAGCGAGCGATCTGCTCCGGCATCACGCTGCACACGGCCAGCTTCAGCTTCAGCAGCGGCGTCCGGAGACGGTCGTCCTGGGAGAGGAGAGATAAAGGTCAGAAAGTCAGAAATCACACACACACACACAGAGACGAAGCCCCCAGGAAGTGCTCCATAAAAATGCATTTATAGGAAGGAACAGGCCCCGCCTCCAACACTGTATCCAGTTCTCTTCATACATCCATGCATGGCACACTTACACGCTAAATATAGAATCAGGTAACGAGGACACAGCCAGGAGTCCCAGAAACAACGACTCAGCTTTCACCTTTCAGACACACCTGACAGCTCATTGGCTCTTACTGCTGCTTCTGTCAAATCTAACATAAGTGTCCTGGCACTAAAGGGCCAAAACATATTTCAGATGTTCTGCTACGGCTCTTAGTTTCTTTGCTCCAAATATCTGGAACAAACTACCAGAAAACTGCGGGTTGTCAGCAGGTCTTACTACTTTGAATAAAGTAGTAAGACGGCCCCTCTGTTGGCCCCTCTGTTGGCCCCCCGACTCAGACTGCAAGGAATCTGGGTGTGACCCTAGATAACAACCTGTCCTTCACTGCAAACATCGCTGCTACAACCCGCTGCTGCAGATACACTCTTTACAACATCAGGAGGATACGTCCCCTCCTGACCCAGAAAGCGACGCAGCTTCTGGTCCAGGCTCTCGTCATCTCACGCCTAGACTACTGCAACTCCCTCCTGGCTGGTCTACCTGCATGTGCCATCCGACCTCTGCAGCTCATCCAGAATGCAGCGGCTCGTCTGGTCTTCAACCTTCCTAAATGTTCCCACACCACCCCGCTCCTCCGCTCCCTTCACTGGCTTCCAGTAACTGCTAGAATCCACTTCAAGACACTGGTACTTGCGTACCATGCTGTGAATGGATCTGGCCCTTCCTACATCCAGGACATGGTTAAACCATACACCCCAGCACGTGCACTCCGCTCTGCATCAGCCAAACGGCTCGCTGCACCCGCACTGCGAGGGGGACCCAAGTTCCCATCAGCAAAAACACGTGGGTTTGCTATCCTGGCTCCAAAATGGTGGAATGAGCTCCCCATTGACATCAGGACAGCAGAAAGCTTACACATCTTCCGGCGCAGACTGAAAACTCATCTCTTTCGACTCCACTTCGAGCGATAGAATTACTAACAAAGCACTTATATACTAACAAAGGACTGGCTTATCTAAAGCCAGTTGAGTAGCACTTGAAATGTTTTGGCTCTATGAAACCTGATGTACTTATATGATTCTGTTTTCTTCAAGTTTGTATCTTCTTGGTCGAATGCACTTATTGTAAGTCGCTTTGGATAAAAGCGTCAGCTAAATGCAATGTGATGCAATGTAATGTAAAGGCTGAGAGTAAAGTATGTGTCTCCCGCTCACCTGTATGTTGAGGCTGAGCTTCTTGAGGCGTTTGAGCAGAGCCTCTTTGTTGCAGGGCACGAAGGCCTCCAGGTGACAGTAGACCACTGAACGCACCTCAGCCGGCTGCTCCTGCACCTGCAGCTCAATACTGACGACACACACACAGAGAGAGAGAGGTTAGATCTACGGACATTTACATGAGCTGTTTATATAAATAATAATCTGATGGGGCTCACTCCAGCAGGATGTTGTTCATGTCCAGCGTGAAGAACTTCTTCCTGCCCTCGGCATCGAACAGACGGGACGCCTGAGAGGAGAGAGGAGCATTACACTTTATCAAACGTTTAATTTCTGCTCCTGGTACTAGGATGGGTTCAAAGCAGAGACCAAATGTCACTGTGTGCTGTGTGCTCTGCATGTGTGACCATTAAAGAGGGTTATATCCTCCAATTCTATCTATTTTGTGAAAGAATATAACAGACTAACCCCTAGATTCCACCGGGTCAGTCTGCGCCGCGTTACGGCCGCGGCGTTCACAGCGATCGCGGCCACTCTAGTCAATGGGTGCTATTCCACCAGACGCGCCGCGTTACGGCTCAGAAGCGTCTCGGCGCTGGGCTCCGCAAAAAATAGACGGCTGGTCTATTTTCGACGCGACGCGAGGCGTTGCATAGCGGGAAGTGGACCGGTCAGAGCATCCATTCAATCCCCAAAACAAACTAATTTTGCAGACCCTATCCCTCCGTAGTCTTTCAAGTAGGAGGAGAAATGCCAGCGTTCTCCTCCGGTTTACAGGCACTGTGTAAATTATATATATATATATATATAGAATAATTATGATGATGAATGCATTTGATGAAACACATCTTTGATCAATGTCGTTTATAACTGAACTATTACAATTATTATTAACTTTGTCTCTACAAAGTAGCCTGTCCAGGAAATATGCCCAAATCAACAAAAACTGCGAGCCGGCAGGCAAGACGCTCCTGAAACGCGCCCGGTAGGGTTTGACGCGGTAAGAGGTCGGAACAAAACCGCGGCGCAGACGGACCCGGTGGAATCCCGGGGTTAGGCTGCACGATTATTACTAATATTATATTTAATATTAATATTATTATTATTATTATTATTATGTGGACAAAACGAATATATAATCTCCAGACAAGATTTAATTCATTTTAAGTTTCAGCCTTGATCCTGTTAAATGTATTTATTTTTCAAAATGACTAGTCTAAATAATCTGCAGAAAAGTAAAAAATGAACATTATTATTTTTCTTTATCTTATGTACTTTTAGTTATTTTATAAAAAATAAAAAAATGTTGTGCTTTTTGGTTGTACATGTTAATCTCAATAAAAATGTGATCACAAAAAATAAATGAACATAATTCTTAATTGCAGTCTTGATCTAACACAGTGTAATAATAACTCCCGTACCGCTCTGAGGTCCTCGATGCGTTTAGTGAGCGGTGCTGGGAGTCCGCTGGGCAGAGGGGGGGGCGCCATGACCCCCTGAGCCCCCCTGCCCCCTGCGGTTTTGAGCCCGAAGGCCCCGTTCTCCGCCCCCTGCAGAGGGCTGTGCTGCGGGGAGTCCAGCATCTCGAAGTCCAGGTCGCCCATCATGTCCTGCAGGATGTCGTTATTGGTCGATCCGAGCAGTGACATCACGGCAGGGTCAGAGGTCAGGTCTGTAATGTTGCAATCGGCCGCCCCGGAGACTTTAGCCTGGGCGTTGATCAGCCCGGTGCTGCTGTTGCCGGCGGCGACGGCAACGGCGACAACGACGGGAGCTTTGGCGTTGGCTCGAGCCAGCGCGTGGGCGGTGAAGTTCTTCTTCCTCATCTCCTCTTTCTCCCGGGTGAAGCGGCGCAGCATGTTGGCCAGGTGGATGGAGTCCTTCATCAGCTTCTTCCTCTTCTTCTTCTCCGGGCGGTGCACGTTCAGGGAAACTCTGCCGGGGACAGGAGATACAAAGAGAGACGTTTAATGGACCATTGTTTAATGGAGGGGTGGTGCAGGAATGAGTCATAAAACCCAGAAATGAGTCCTTTGTTTAGCCCAGCCTTAAAGTCATGTTTGGTTTGTTTTTTAATTGTTTTTTGGTTTACAAATGAGACGACTAACCGTCATCACGCCCAACATTAGCTGCCTTTAGCTTAGCGGTGGTGACGTGAAGTCATGTGACCGTGCTGTAGTTCCTTTATAGCCCAACATTAGCCACCTTTAGCTTAGCGGTGGTGACGTGAAGTCATGTGACCGTGCTGTAGTTCCTTTATAGCCCAACATTAGCCGCCTTTAGCTTAGCGGTGGTGACCTGAAGTCATGTGACCGTGCTGTAGTTCCTTTATAGCCCAACATTAGCCACCTTTAGCTTAGCGGTGGTGACGTGAAGTCATGTGACCGTGCTGTAGTTCCTTTATAGCCCAACATTAGCCGCCTTTAGCTTAGCGGTGGTGACGTGAAGTCATGTGACCATGCTGTAGTTCCTTTATAGCCCAACATTAGCCACCTTTAGCTTAGCAGTGGTGACGTGAAGTTTGGATATTATGTGAATGTCTGAGAGCCTAATATGAAAACACTGAAGAAACCTCACCCAGCCTTTGGTACTTTATTCTTTCTGGGTTTCTTTTCCTCCAGAATACCACCATCTTGCTTTTTCCGACGCTTCTTTATCACCCTCTCCTCGCCGTCTTTCATCTTCTGCAAACAGGTGCAAACAGTGTGGTTTTATGGTTTAACAGTCACTTTAGGTACAGTAAGAACACCATCAGGAAACTGACATATGTGTATACTTGACTCAATGCACGTACCTTGAAGCGGTTATCCTCTGTGCCGCCGTTTTCCCCCTCTGAGTCTGAAGCCGCTCTGAACTGCAGCGTGCCGGTGTTGATGTAGAAACCTCCGTGTTTCGTGGTTAAAGAGGCCGGCACCAGCTCATCATACTGAGGAGGGGAGGAAAACAGGATTTCTGTTAGTCTTATTCTTCTACTGCGGCTGCGTTTTAACACTGCTTGAATAACAACAATTTCCCAAAGTCTATTCAACGGTATGATCTTTAAACCTCCAATTAAATATAAAGCTAAACTGACAACTTAGTTTGGTTTGCTTATTTTGTCGCTCATAAAACAGTGTCAGAGTGAACTCACAGCCTCTGAGTTGTCGATGAAGGGGTCGGTGTCATCGTATCCAAAGCCGATGTCGATGAGATCCTGCATCCGGTCTTTCTTCTTCTTCTTTGGGACACCACCCTGAAAACAGCGGGATGATATTTAAAGAAAACATTCACAAGGACATATTAGACATTCCTTGGTTTGTCATCCACACAGTTCAAACTGGGCTAACTTGTTTCTGGGTTCTGTGGGGGAAACTTCTGAAGCAATTGGAGTCAACACTCAGAGAGACACGAGGAGAGCTGGAGCTTTGATGGCAAACACTGACGGTTTATTTGGAGCTTCGGCCGGAGAATTCACACGACATGTCACGGGCTGACCACACGGTAGAGATGCCACAATCAATTCTGAAGAACTCTTCTGCAGCTCGAGGTTTTAACTAGTTCAGAGTGTAATAATCAACATTCTTTATCAGTGAGACTAAACAATTATGGACCCTGAATCTAACTAGAGCTGTCGTCCATAGGAAAGAATGTGCGCCAGGGAACCTACGTCCCTGAACAGTAAACTACCTCATGGCGGCTTGTGCTCCGTCATAGACTGGCAACAACAATGCGCCCAAGCTGCCCCTCCTTAAGAGAGATAGCAGCTATACCCAAGGCCGTAGACCTATGCCATGGGAAAGGAGACAGTGAAAAGAGGAAAATGATGAACTGTGTCAAAGGTTAAATACCTAAGCAAATTATTCCCCAACAGGTTTCAGGACTCATTCCTGCACCACTGAGGCTCCATCACTCACGTATTTGTTCTCAAACTTCTTGGCCATTGCCTCCACTTCTCGTCTCTCTCTGTTGTCGTCAGCAAACGGGTCGCTGGGGTCCAGCGGGGGGGCGAGGCCTTTAGGGACCTTTGAACCTTGAGGCTTTACCTGAGGAGAAACAAGACAATTGGCAAAGGGATGAAATGGGGGTAACGGGCATTTTAGGTTTCCCTTTTTAAAGTGCCTATTCGCAAATGAACATGTCCAACGCTCACAATAAATACATATGGACAATTTATTCACCGGGTCCCTGCACATCTCAGTGTGCAATATACACTTTTTGGCAATTTATTATTGTTACCATCTACTAAAATAACAGTTTAATGTGCAATATAAATATTTTATTTGTTCCTTTTTCTTTCTCCACAAAAAGGATCACTGCCTTATCAACAGCACTCTTGCACACTTAACAGTACATATATAAAGAGTGCAACATATAAATGCATCTGGGAGTGCAATAAACTTTTTTCGCAATGTATTATTATTATATTATTATCAATGTATTATTGTTATCACTAGCTGCCAGACTGTAACACCACTGTTCTGTTATTAAAAAAAGATATGTGCAATATTTGCAATGCTACTTCACTAAATGGATATGTTTACTTACTTTTATATTGCTAATACTTCCTGTGAAATGTGTACTTCAGAATCAGAGTACCTTTATTTGTCAAATATAATAAATGAGTGTGATAGCACCCAGATAACAATAGTGAAAGTATATATTGCACAGTTATTACAGACTGTATTACAGTAGTTGAATAGTCTAAACAAGAGATAGCAGCCAGTTACAACAAAATATTTTATAAAAGTTTTATTACATGTTAGTCTACTCATTTTATGTGCATCTTGCAACATTCTCTTGAACTATTTTATTTCTATTCTGTTATTTCTTGCACTATTTTGATTGGTTTTATGTCTTATATATAATTATGTTTCATTGTTAGAGGCGCTTGGGACTTCAGTTTTGCATTGCCATATCTACACTGTAGCTGCTGTGCATATGACAATAAAGCCTTTGCATCTTCAACTTTCTACTTTTACTTAAGTACTTCTTCCCCCTCTGCTGACAGTATCCCTGGGCAAGCGATGCCGGGTTTAGCCCCCCTTGAAGCCACAATGGAGCCTCCACTGACCTGAGGCTGAGGCTGAGGCTGGGGCTGAGGCTGAGTCTGAGGCTGCGATGAGTTGACCAGCTCTCCGTAGTTGAACTCTGATGAAGCCCGGTCACTGGGCTCAGCCAGCGGGAGGAGCAGCCGCACAGAAGGCTTCACCTCCCCGGTAACTCCCTCTCCTCCTGTCGGTGTCACATTCCCGAACGGAGCTCCTCCACTTCCACCTCCATCTCCTGACCCGACAACAGAAACACCTCCACCTCCATCTTTCCCACAAGTCACCTCGGCGGCCTCATCTTCCCGGCGGCGCTTTTTGCTGGACTCCAGCTGGGGGGTCGGAACCACCGGCGAGGTGTTGAAGGACGAGATAGTGACGAACGGTACTTTCCTCGGTTCTGCCATTTGACGCTCTTTAACGGAACCGGGTCACGTAAAGTCACGCAAACCGGGAAACCTGGAGACGGTCGTCAAGAAGAAGAAGAAAGCTAGTTGCTATGCTAGCTTAGCTTCCCTTTAGAATGAGTGGTTGAAGCAACACAGTTACTTTTATATCCTTTTAGCCCGTGTTAATCCATAAAGTAGTATCCCTGGCAGAGCCCCCGTCTCCTAAGAGGGACTTAAACTGTGAGAAAAGGCAGTTTTAAACGCTTCCATGGAACTGGAGGTTGGCTACCGCAAGGAGGATTCTGTAGTAGCCATCTTGATCATTATTATCATTATTCAGCGGCTGGGCGGTGCGTAACAGCGATTGACCAATAGGAGAGCGGGAACAGCGTTTGACCAATAGGAGAGCCAGAACACGCCCACCTGACAGATACGCGCCAACGTCTCCTTTTGCTTTTAGCCCGTGTTAATCCGTAAAGTAGACAAACGATGCAACTCTTTTATAAACTTTAAAGGTGATGATTTGAGACAAATATTGATACAACTAATTGAATGTATACTCTGTATATGTACCTATGTACCCCTGATGTCAATGTTTTGTTTGTTTATAATATAAAGGAACAAATAAATCCATAAATATGTGTTTTAAACGCTTCCATGGAGCTGGTGGTTGTGGTGACAGTGGTATTCAGTAGTAGCCATCTTGGTCAACGGGGCTGGGCGGTGCATAAAGCGATTGACCAATAGGAGAGCGAGACCGGTGATTGACCAACAGGAGAGCGAGAACACGCCCACCTGACAGATACGCGCGAACGTCTCCCTTTATTAGCCCATGTTGATTCATAAAATAGACAAACTATACAACTTTTTTATAAACATTAAAGGTTTAAAAAAAAAGTTGGGAACATTTTGCATTCACAAAAATAAATGGTCTGACTTGACTATATATTTGATAAATATTTGACTTGAAATGTTACCTTTTATCACAATTTTCTTTATATTTCTTTAATTTGAATATGATGAAATAAAACGTTTTCTACAGGAAAGACTTATACTGTATGTTTTGATGTTTTCTCTGCCATTGTCACTCGTAAATTGCCTTTTAAGAAACATTCTGCTTTTATCAGTTTGACAGTTTAATTATTAGTTTATAAAATAATTGGGTTTCCAAAAATGCAATGATCTTTAAAAACATCTAAGATATGAGTGGTATGAAAGTCCCAACATATTTCAGTTATAAACTGGCGACACAGATTGGGCAGGGGCGGCCCTGTAGGTAGATCATTTGGGCTTGGTCATTTTAAAAGTAGCTCCCAAGCTGAAAAAGTGTTGGCACCCCTGCTCTACGGCATACCATCCAACCTCCTCAATAAACTCCAACACATCCAGAACTCTGCTGCCCGCCTCCTCACCCACACCCGCTCCCGAGACCACATCACTCCCGTCCTCCAGAACCTCCACTGGCTCCCCGTCCGTCAAAGAATCGACTTCAAAGTCCTCCTCATTATTCACAAAGCCCTCAACAACCAGGCCCCCCCCCCCCCAACCTCACAGACCTGCTGCACCACCACACCCCTTCCCCCTACCTCACAGACCTGCTGCACAACCACACCCCTTCCCCCTACCTCACAGACCTGCTGCACCACCACACCCCTTCCCCCTACCTCACAGACCTGCTGCACCACCACACCCCTTCCCCCTACCTCACAGACCTGCTGCACCACCACACCCCTTCCCCCTACCTCACAGACCTGCTGCACCACCACACCCCTTCCCGCTGCCTCCACTCATCAGAAGCCAACCTCCTATCCATCCCCACCCGCATCAATCACCGGACCTGGGGGGACAGAGCCTTCTCCGTCGCTGCCCCCTCCCTCTGGAACTCACTCCCACAACCCATCAAAAACTTACAAAAACTCACCTCTTCAATCTGGCTTTTAATGTGTGATTGTTTTTGTATTGCTTGATTTCTATTTGACTTTAACTATATATATTTATTTGTTGTTCTTTTCTTTTCACTATAAAAGCGCTAACAAAATAAATCTATTATTATTATTATTATTAATTAGCCAATCAGTGTAAACAAAGAAATCATGACAATTTAGGTTACAGATCCAAGATTTTAAAAATGCCTTCTGGGAATGAAATATAAAATATAAAATATGGACATACTGCAGTTCCTTATTTGCTGATTATTTCTAGTCATTTAGTAATATTGTTATGACATTTGGCATGGGCATCATCTCTATCCATTCTTGCCTTTTCAAGTTTATAATTTAAACTCCATGAAAATAGTTTACTGTCTTTTAAGTTTACCAGTCTCGGATTTATATTTCCTACTTTTTAATGCCGTTTTAATTCTATTTTCAGATGTTTATATTTCATTATTGTTTATTTCTACTTTTCTACTTGTGTGCAATGCCTTGTTTGTTGGTTTTGATGCTGCTGAAACGCCCAATTTATTTTTATTAGTTTGCAGTGCAAGCTTGTCCATGCAATAGAGCTCCACCTTAAACGATGTTGAATTTCATGATAATACACCAACAATTACGTTTAGAATATAAATTCCCTTCTTCCAGTGGGAGAGAACTCGCTGCTAGAGTCGAGTTTCTCCTTCCTGATATCAATTTGCAATTTTCTGTACATCTGTAAATTATATACCAGGGCTATTCAACTGGCAGCCAATCCGGCCCCGGGGTGATATTTACTGGCCCTTTGAGTATAATGTTAAAAAGTAATCTACTTTTTTTGGGCCAGAGTTCCTTTATTCCAGAGAGGGTGTTACGTTGAGAGATAGAGGGGAAGACACTGCCTGAAAACTTCTGCGGGCTCGGGTTTCGAACCCACCTACTAGCTACTGTAGTGTATTGCATCTCTGCGTGAATGATTAGATAATTTCACCTAAATGAAATTAAATGATGTTGATGGTTAAATCAGCTTCACATGTACCGAGTTCTGAACTTGCCATTTAGATCTCGAAAGGCCTTGGGGCTATGTTGTTTGATTAATGAAACACAATATATGCACTCCACTATGCTGTTGTAGTATGAACTGTATCTGAAGCTCTTAATATGATTGCTCATATTTTTCCCAGCCCCTTGCTTTGGATCGTTTTCAACCGGCCCCATTCCAAACTAATTGAATAGCATTGCTATATACCATCATATGTATACACAGCATGTCTATGCTCCTGTAGAATAAGCCTATATTCCTGCTACTGCAGTATTTTTTACATTTTAATTATCCAGATTTGATTGTATTGTTTATATATATATATATAGCATTTTGTTAATTATTTGTATTTTAATGTTGAACCCACTGCTTCTGAAACAAGTTTCCTAAATTGAGATTCATATATCCATCTGTAACTTGCTAGTGTTAAATACCAACCACCTATGTGCAATATGTGCTAGATGCCGTTAATAACTGTGTAATATATATCTGGCTGCTAAATCCTAAGAACTGTAACAGGATGTGTATTTTTTTAATTATGTAACTTTTTATATCATAACTTAGTACTTTTTTTAATGCACGTCACATTTAACATGCAACATGAAGCCGTCTGTGGCTCTTTTTCCTGCTGTAACTATGCATGCACATTTCCCCTCCGTGGGACTAATAAAGGTATTCTGATTCTCTATAAATTCCCTTCTTCCAGTGGTATAGAGTGCCACAGTGACACGTCCTAAAACCCAGAAGTAAGCTGCGCATGGGTTCCTTCGACAAAACACCAATGCAATCTCTCCATAGGATTTTGGAAAATAGCTGGAAATAAGGTCTGTGGTTGAAACGCATTGAAGAGACAGATCACGTTTTGTTCAGCCGGATAATATCCACATGTCTACCCTACTTTTATGATATTATCCGGTTGAACAAAACGTGATCTGTCTCTTCAATTTGTCTCAACCAAATTGTCAATCCATTTTTTGTCAAAGGAACCGGAAGTGGTAAAATGCTAACTTACTTTTTTTATGATAATACACCAAATATTAGTGTTTTAGGACGCGTCACTGTGGCACTCTATACCCATCCTCATTATTGAACAGTTGTTGGGATAGAAGAACATTACAGCCAACAGTGACCTTCAGTAAATGTCAAATAAATCAATAGAAAACAGAGTCAAAGTGTGAAAACACCATTTTATTGTTGCTACAGTCAGTTTAAGACCAGTCAGCGGTGGCACCTCCCCACTCAGTAGCCTGAGCGGTGGGAGCAGTGGACCAGTCCTCTGTGGCGGGCTGAGTGCTCCAGTCCTCTGCAGGGGGAAACACAACAATGAGTTAGCATCATGTAGTCAAAGAAACATTTAAAAATAATCTTGAATTTTGTAAATGAATTAGGAAATCAACCGTACGTTTCTCACCTGGCTTGACCGCCGCGGCAGCTGGAACAAGGGAAACAAAGACAGATTAGAGACAGATAAAGTACAGAAACTCATGATCATTTATTAATTAAAATACCTAAAAAATATCTGATGACTTTTGTATGATGTCTGGTTCTCATATTCACACAAGTGTCATATGTTGATCTTAAAGTTTGCCATTTTTATGATTGTAAGCAGTTCATAGCTACAGTGTAGTTATGTCAATGAACATCTGAGATCACAGGCTCCTCCTCCAACAGAGCAACACAGATAAAATAGTGCAAGTAAATAAAATAAATAAATAATTTGTTATCTGTTATGTATTATTAAATAGTGCAAAACCATCATTTTATGTCCATAATTAATAAAGTGTGGTTACAGTAAACCAGTGTTCTTACCTGCTGGGAACTGCTGGATGGGCACAGATGGAACAGCGACTCCCTCGGACCAGTCGGCCACCTCGGGCTGCGTGAACTCGGCTGCAGGAGCGCTCCATTCGCCCTGGAACTCCTCCTTTCCAACAGCCTTCTCCGCCGCTGCTTGCTCCTCCTTCTCAATCTGTAGCAAGGAAATGGGCATTAATTAGACCTCAAGTAATCCTAAACATTGAGCCGTATTGTGTAAGCTTTTTTTTTTATCGGCTCATTTCATTATACAGATGGAATATAAACTCATGATTTTACGTGCAGTCTTAGGAAACAACCGAAACCTAGCCTATATTATTCCACAATACATTTATTTATATTAGCGAATATTGTTCTAGGACTAGATTAGATATGTCTTATTTATCCTATAAGTTTGCTTACTCTATTATTGCATGCCTACTTTACCCGCTATGCCACTTTAGCTGTAACACTAAATACATTCTGAAAGCTTCACTTCTTTCAGTCGCCCTGCGTTTGTCTCACCTCCTCTGGATCTCTGTAGAAGTACAGATCGGGCATGACCTCCCATGGGTGCTCCCTGGAGATGGTTCCCCTCATCCTGAGCACCTCCCTGGACAGCATCCACCACATCAGACCAACAGAGTGGTGACCCTGAAACACAGCCATATCAGTTATAGATCACAATAGGAAAAACACAACTTTCATTCGCACGTTTAATATCCAGAGACACGAAGAGCTACGTAACATTTTGTAGCAGACCTTTACCCCGAAACCCAGTGTGGTGTAGAGAGAGGGGGTTAAAGGCCGAGCTTTTTTATTTAGCACACGTCTTACACCCAGCACATCATTGACAGGACAGGCAGGGCTCTAACGGTATGCAAGATACACAGAATTGACAACGTATGACAGGTACTTGTGTTCAGTTTTTCCTCACCTTGTTGTTACAGGGGATGGCGATGTCCACGTATCTCAGTGGGGAGTCGGTGTTGCACAGAGCGATGGTGGGGATGTTGACGTAGGAAGCCTCAGTCAGTGGCTGATGGTCGGCACGGGGGTCTGTGACGAGCAGGAGGCGGGGCTCCCTGAAAGCAGCCTGGATCTGATTGGTGAAGGTACCGGGGGTGAAGCGCCCGTGGAAGGTGGTGGCGCCGGTGGCAGAGGCAAACTTAAGCACGGCCCTCTGCGACAGCGAGAAAAAACACAAGTTACACTCAGGAACTCAGATTAAATATCATTATTATTATTATTATTATACTTTACAAATATTAAATGTGGCACAGGTCACTATCAAACGCCAGTCATTGGACGTCGTCCTCATGGTGTTAGCGAAAACCCGGCCAGATCACTTTTGCACACTTCCGACACCAGAACACCGACATCAGTGCCCGGCTTTAATTGAGTGCTTATCACAGTTCATTTACTTCTGTCCCACAGTGTTTACCTGCAATCACTACAGTACACCAGGACAATCATTTAGACCGTTTACTGTACCTGTCCAGTGTTCCTGGAAGAGATGACGCACACATCGGCCGGGTTTTCAATGGCAACGATAGCCCTGGCAGCGAGCAGAAGCTTCTCCCAGGTCTTCTTCAGGTTGACAATGTACACACCTGGAGTTTAAAGGAGAACAAAGGGGCATGAAGATCTTTGTTGACATTTATAACACCTTAGAGGATCATTATGGTGCAGAGAGCTTTGATTCTGCTTAATCTGTTCCAACACTCACCGTCACTTTTTCTTTTGTAGACATACTGGTCCATCTGGAAGTCCAAGTTGGTACCTCCCAGATGGGTGGATGCTGCGAGGAATTTAAGGACATCCTCTTCCTTCATTTGAAGGACATCTAGACCTCCGGACATCGTGACCACTTTCCCTGCGCAACGATTTATGGAAAAGCTGAGGAAAGGAAGAAAAGCTTGGTGAGATAAAATAAAATTCTCTGTTACAAGTACAAGTCCTGCACTCAAAATGTTACTCGGGTAAAAGTGGAAATTACCAAATCAAAAAAGTACTAATTATCACAACAGGCCCTTTTACAAATATATTATATCACTGGAGTTTAACTCGTGATGCATTCTTGTGTTCATTTTAATTTAGCAGCTGTTAAAGGATGCGGACACGTTTTTTTTAACTGTCAGATACCTCCAGCCATAGTTGTACATTGAAGAATACATTTTTGTATTCCTAAAATGAACCAGCAAAGGTAACTAGTAACTAATCTTTTGAAACAAATGTAGTAAAAAAAGTACAATATTTGCTTCCAAAATGTAGTAGTGTAGAAGTATAAAGTTGCATTAAATCAATACTTAAGTAACTCAATTGTAAGTTAGTAGAGTACTTGAGTAAATTCACTTAGTTACAGTCAAACTCTGCATTTGGGAGCTATGGTGTAAATATTAGGTTCCTGCTAACAGGGCACTGAAGCGAAAGCGTACTTTTGACATCAGGCGTACAGGAGGCCTTTGAGTGTGTAAACACGCTGCAAAAGGCAAGATGCTATTATAACACCTAGAATGGTATAAAGCAAGTTTAAATGTGTATAATCAGTCAGCTGTGACATTTCTTCACTAATTATTTTTGTTCAGGCGCTACGGGAAACCCTCCGGTATGAGCGCGTGTCAACGGCTAGCACGTTAGCAGTGACATTAGCAATGTCTACTTTGGGATATTTTAAGTCAATAAACACGATCAATGTTGGTTTTTTTCCGCACTATTTGGTGCTATATAAGCTGCCGTTAGTTACTTGCTCTTTTTATGGCGTCGATTAAAAAGGTTTATTGGTGAAATAGTAGCGTTAAAAACTCACCACGAAACAACGCCGTATGGAGATCTAACCAAACGGTGAAAAGAGGACGCAGGGAGGAAGTGACGTCGTATAAATACCAGATTTCCAAGCCTGTGATTGGTTAGTTTCTGTGAATGGGGCGGGAGTATATATTTTAGGGTTCAGAGCATGTTCAGAGCCCTAAAATTGTTTAGTTTTTTTAACTTTTGCAACATTTAATATATGTTGTATACTTCCATCTAATTACTGAAGACATTTTGAGGAAGTGACATTTGTGGTTAAAATATTTTTGCTAAAATAATCAATTCCTAATTCCAAAATCGTTTTTTTTTTTTTGGAAATAATTCTGTGAGTTACCCAATTCCCATTATACTTCACCGTCTCTATGGCGCTTCCACATAATATATTATACAATTTTTTGGGGTCATTTTAAAGGTTTTAGAGCAAAAAACGAGCCTTAAAAACTCACCACGGTGAAAAACAGGGCACTGGGAGGAAGTGACGTCGGATACCAGATTTACAAGCCTGTGATTGGTTGGTTTTCCTGAAAGGAGGCGGGAGTAGTTCTGTGAGGTATTTTTTTTTTTTTCAACTTGATGCTTCTGTAAATTGGCCAATAGATGGTGTTGTTTTGCCACTTTGAGGTCCATGAGGTCCATGAGGTAACCACAGGTCAGTGTGTGTTCGGATGGTTTTCCCATATTAAGACAATGGCGATGGAAAGACCATATTAAGACAATGCTGAGACGCTGACTCCTCGGTGAAAGACTGACCTGTGGAGCAACTCTATTTACTCGAGATAAAGAGTTCCAGGCGAAAGGGAACATTATATGTACACAATGTCACAACGAGTTGAGAAATAATTACATTACAACCTGTCTTATGTGCAATTTGTATGATACTGAAATAGTAAAAGAAAACCATGCTGAGTTCATTCAATTCAATAGTCTTCTTAGTGGTATTACATATGAGCAAGCAAGACACTGAATGAAATGAATCAATATTAAAGTGAGTAACTAATAGAATACATGCTCGTCAGATATATATATATCTTTATATTGTTGATATTTATACATTCACTGTTTATGTTTTATGTTTTTTTAACTCATGGGAAATTCGTTTTGGATCATCTGATCTAGTCCTAGAACTATATTAGCTAATATAATAAAACAATATAGCCTATGTTTAGGTAATATGTCATAATATATAATCAGAATGGGTTTTATTATAAGTAGGCTTACACATACGAGGTTTATGTGGTGCATACAGAGACACAGAAAGAAGAATACGTAGCAAACATGTAAAATAAAAATAGGACTGTTATGAAAGCTATTTAAAAAGACTATCTTAAGACTATTATAACAAATTAACAATATTTAGGTATGACTAATACTATATACTGTGTTTAAAGCAGAGAGCTGTGCTGATTTAAAAGAGGTATAGGTAGTTCAGCTTATATTTTTGGTGCAATTCATAGTACTAATTTTAGTGTGAGACTGAGCAGACGACAGGCAGGTGGGTCGGTCAATTTTGTGTTGATTCAAACGTTTGCTTTGGGTCAAAGTCAAGGACACGAGAGGCGATGGATCCGACAAATAAGGCTAAAAAAGAAGGAGTGGAGTGTGTGTCACACGGTCAGAAAACAGGTTATTGGAGTTGAATTCTGGGAAAAGATGTGGGTTTTCGAAACATATAGAATCATTTGGTAACTCCCAAGACAGATAGCTGATTTAGTTTAGTGACTGTTCATCATTATGTCAAATATATGCACTTATCAGGGTTCATACACTTTTTCACTAATGATTTTCCATGACTTCTCCATGACCTTTACCTAATTTTCCATGACCAAAAACATTACTCTTTCTCAGCGTACCACTGAAAATGGTTTATTTTAACATGGAACAGGAAAATAAGGTCTACATATGAAACATGTTGTGCCTATCTAAAACAAATCAAATAGGCTTACTAGCTTCTACACGCTAAAGCAACTCAAATCTCTCACCAGCAAAATACCTCGTCAGTTAAATGCCATTTTACGTTTCATTACTATACAGTATTTATTATCATTATATTATTACTATTTCGGCGATTAGATAAAATATAAATTATATACTTTAGTTACATTTCCATGACTTTTCCAAAACTTTGGGGAAAATATTGTTTTCCATAACTTTCCCAGGGCCTGGAATTAGCCATTTGAATTTCCATGACTTTTCCAGGTTTTTAATGACCGTAAGAACCCTGATTTATAATACACTCATGTACAACTATACAGAGCAGAAGAGGGAGATGTTCTGCAGATAGTTTGCCCTTAATAACCTAATGTCTTACTTTACTTTCTGTTATCATGTCACCGCCCCGCCTCTGTCTCTCAGCCGGTCTGTGATCAGTGTTCGGTCTTCACTCTAATCTATATGACTTTCTAATCTCTCACGGGTGAATTTTACACCACAGCTGAACGTGTTACACAGACCAGTCACACATTGTTATATCATAAATGAGAAAAATCATACTTGAGTTTTTCTGAAATGTTTAACCCTCCTGTTGTCTTCGGGTCAAATCTGACCGATTTACTACTTTCATCAATCATAACTTTTTTGTTTTACATTCGATTGCATTAAGGCTTTATGATATCCTTCACAGTAGACATTTGAACATATCAAATTGCTGATCACCACTTTCATTGCATTTTGGATGATTTAGTCAACTTTGTAACACCCATGGTGTTCCCGGTCAAAAATTACCGCCATAAAGAAAAGGAATTAGTAACCATCCGGATCAGATAAAACACACACACACACACACACACACACACACACACACACACACACACACACACACACACACACACACACACACACACACACACACACACACACACACACTGTAGATGTGTGTCCCCCCCCCCTATGTGCCCATCCCCCCATGTGAATCACACCTGGCACACAAACACACACATAAACACACACACACAGAACAATTTGACACATTTCCCGCTCTTATGTGCCCATCCCCCCACATGGATCACACCTGGCACACGCAATCCATGTTCAGTGTCTGTTCTTTGTATATTTACTGCAGTTGTTCATGTATACCAGTAGTCTGATACAATATTTACAGTTTGAAAGGGTGTTAAATGACATTTGGTGATGATGAATGGTTTTTGTGATAATGTAATAGCAGTTCAAACAGGACCGGTCAAATTTGACCGCGAACACCAAAGTAAGGGGGAAACGAAGACAATAGGAGGTGATTATGCACTTTGGCATTGGTTCTTTTAATTCAGTAACCAACATATTATAATAACCTACAAAATAAAGAACAGTTACATTATACAGTATTTTACTGTAAATTATTTTAGCTTCTGTTGTAACTATATTACATGTATATATTTGTCTAGCTTGCACCCACAGGCTGTATATATAAAGCTTGCACCATTATGTCTATTTACTCTTTACATTGTTCTGTATTTAACTTTAATTTCTGTTTTCATTTTGTCTCTATTTGACAAGTATATAGTTGACTTATTGCTGCATTGTACCTGGACCATTGACTTGCAATCTACTTTATTGAATTCTTCATGCAGTAGTTTTATTTCTTTTTGAGTATATTCTATATTGTATTGTTACAGGAGACTGGGACTTACACTGCCAACAACTACGCTATAACTTATGTGTATATATGACAAATAAAGCCTTTAAATCTTGAAGTATGTATGTGTAGCTAATCCCTGGTATTGCACACAGTAATACACAGACTAAACGCCGATTTAAAATAAGCTGGAGTTTAGTCTGCCGTGTCGCAGTGACCCGGTGTTCAGTGTCATGAGTCTCAGCTCCATATCTGCAGAAACTCAGGGGTCAGCTTGTTACACTGATAACAAGGAACATCAGGATGCATGCTCCTAATGAATGTTCTGTGCTTTACTTCCATAAAGAGAGCACATGTGAAGGATGCATGAAAGTAAACGTCAGACAATAATCAGGGTGTTTGAAAGCAGTTTAAGTCAGAATATAAATAACACTGTTGTTAGAAAAGCGTGACATAACAGCAGGGGTTAAAGTGCATTATGCGACTTAATCATGATCACTGCAGTCTGATAGAGATCAGAACTGGGAAGAAGCACGAGCATTTTGAACTGAATTGAAAGTAGCAACACTACATGTTAAAACAGTTACAAGGGAAAGTTATACATAGTCATACATGACTGAACAGTGGGAATAAAAAGTGATTCAAAAAAAGACATACTAATTAAATTAAATCAAAAATAAAGAGACCACATTTGCATCTTGTATTGCAGGGAAATAAAATACACTTTTCTTTTTTTAAAGGAACAAAAGAAATAATAATTGTACACCGACTTCTTGTTGTGGTGAAATATTAAAAATAAAAACAATGACTTCAAATAAAACAATATTTAGAAGACCTGTACAACATGTTCATCTCTTGTTGCAGTGACATTTTAAGTCTTAAAATACATTAAATAAAAAATACATGTACACGGTCTTCATCTGTTGTTGGGTTAAAACAAATAATGCCCCTTTCACACCGGCGCTTTTCCAGCTCCTGCTGGGAGCTAGAGCTGGAAAAGCGCCGGTTTTTCCTGTTCACACCGCAGCGGCGGCGCGTCATAGCTCCGGAATGCGGTTCACTTCCAGCTCCAAAAAATTGTCGGTCCAGAGGCAAGAGTTTCGGAGCTATGACGCGGCGTCTCTTACGTCGAGGCGTGCAGGAAACCTTACTTTGACCATCCGTTCGCTGTTATTGATCATTGTGGAGAGCAGGCAGACGTTTTGTTTGTTATTATAGCAGCTATCGGATGGAATTAATACATGGGCTGCACAGGTTGTCATGTCCGACTATCACAAGTAGAATCATAATGAAAAATACGCCGGTAAAATGTGCCTGTAGAAAACGGCTTAGCAAGTAGTCAGCTTAGCTTCGGTTGCTATGCTAACATCACCCATGTTATACCAGAGAAACTTTCATAACAGCGTTGTGATGCCAAACAGCGTCAATTCAGACTGACACACATTCACTTAAGGGGAACTGGGGATATGTATCAGCTGCTTGTGTGACAGTCAGACAGTGAATACTTTAGAGCCGTGTGAGCTAACGGGAGAATAAACTCCCGTGGAAGAGCAGCAGCACTGCAGCGGTCGGTAAATGCCGCTGAAACACATTAATAAACAATGAACCACGGCACTCTGGAGAAAAGTATAAGGTTGGAGAAGTCGTTATTTAATTTAATCTGGCTTCGTATGATTAAAAGCAACACGATCATCGACCCGACGCAGTCCCCGGCCCGTTGTTGTTGTGGGAGAAAATCAGCGACGTAAACGGTGACGTCATGACGCAGCAGCGGCAGCTCTGGGCGGTGTGAACAGAGCGGGACCTGAAAAGGGAAACCGGAGCTGAACCAGAAAAGCTCTCGCTAGGAGCTAGAAAGGGAAAAGCGCTGGTGTGAAAGTCGCATAAGAGACATTAAAGAAGTCGTAGAAGCAAAACACTTTCAGGCGCTGGAGGAAATGTCATACCTGGAACTGGAAAAAATATCTTAAGCATGTTTTCGGACACTCGTCTCATCTTGTACTATATTTCCGTCTTGGTAAAAACAACAACCAAAATCCTGCACTCCGATTGGCTGATTCACTCGAAGTGCATTTTGGAACGAAATCCATTTCACAGTCTTCTTAAAAAAAAAGTTTTACAGTGACTTCTGACTGTCTGTACTCAGTGATTTGACTTCAGGCACTTATTTCTTCTTATTTTCAGGATTTCAGTCCAAATCTGGCCATCATCTGCTCGTACACGGTCCAGGCCATGGCGGCCATCATGGTCCTCCTCAGGGCTCGAGGTACGGCTCCTCTGAAGAAACCCTGCAGTTTTTGCTCCTGAGAGAGAAGAGAGCCATGATGGTAAATAACATGGTAATGGGTAACATGGTTGTTTAAAAAGGACATATTCTGCTCATTTTCAGGTGTATATCAGTATGTAGTGTCTCTACTTTAAAGAGTCCTCTCCTGCTGATGTTCAGGTGTATATCAGTATGTAGTGTCTCTACTTTAAAGAGTCCTCTCCTGCTGATGTTCAGGTGTATATCAGTATGTAGTGTCTCTACTTTAAAGAGTGCTCTCCTGCTGATGTTCAGGTGTATATCAGTATGTAGTGTCTCTACTTTAAAGAGTCCTCTCCTGCTGATGTTCAGGTGTATATCAGTATGTAGTGTCTCTACTTTAAAGAGTCCTCTCCTGCTGATGTTCAGGTGTATATCAGTATGTAGTGTCTCTACTTTAAAGAGTCCTCTCCTGCTGATGTTCAGGTGTATATCAGTATGTAGTGTCTCTACTTTAAAGAGTCCTCTCCTGCTGATGTTCAGGTGTATATCAGTATGTAGTGTCTCTACTTTAAAGAGTCCTCTCCTGCTGATGTTCAGGTGTATATCAGTATGTAGTGTCTCTACTTTAAAGAGTCCTCTCCTGCTGATGTTCAGGTGTATATCAGTATGTAGTGTCTCTACTTTAAAGAGTCCTCTCCTGCTGATGTTCAGGTGTATATCAGTATGTAGTGTCTCTACTTTAAAGAGTCCTCTCCTGCTGATGTTCAGGTGTATATCAGTATGTAGTGTCTCTACTTTAAAGAGTCCTCTCCTGCTGATGTTCAGGTGTATATCAGTATGTAGTGTCTCTACTTTAAAGAGTCCTCTCCTGCTGATGTTCAGGTGTATATCAGTATGTAGTGTCTCTACTTTAAAGAGTCCTCTCCTGCTGATGTTCAGGTGTATATCAGTATGTAGTGTCTCTACTTTAAAGAGTCCTCTCCTGCTGATGTTCAGGTGTATATCAGTATGTAGTGTCTCTACTGGGACATGTCTTCATGCTTTAATGTTCAAAAAGCTCTTTATTTTTCTCATACTGCCTGTGCTGCAGCACCTCTTTTCACCCTCTGTCTGAAACCAGAGCCCAGTCTGCTCTGATTGGTTAGCTGGCCGGCTCTGTTGTGTTTGGTCAACTGCTTAGCGATGTCCCGCCCCTTAGCCTATCACGTACAATGTGTTGCAGCGCTAGCCAATAGGAGCGTGATTGTTACATAGTGATGTCATTATGTTCAGGAAGTAAACAAAGGAGTCCAATGGAGGCGTTTCAGATTTAGGTTTTGTGTTCATTTAAATAATAAAATAAAGCAGATGAAATGACAGTTACCTTGTAGATGTGTCTGATGGCCTCGACGGTCCTCAGGTGTGTGTTCACCTGAACCTGAGTCTTCACCACGTCAGCCGGCTGCGTGATCAGAGAGGCTAACACCCCCGAGAGCAGCCCACAGGAGAAGTTATAGAGGGGGGCGGAGGGGGAGGAGCTGATCTCTGAGGGGAGGAGAGAGAGGGGTTTAATACAAAGGAATTAATAATTACAGTAAAAAATAAAGCCTAAACAGAAATACATTTAATTATAAGTTAATACATTTTATTTAACCCAAAGGGAAATACAATTTTGTAACAGTGTCTTCATTTTAGAATAAAACGCTTTTTAAATATTTAAATAAACAAAAAAAAGTCAATGTATAATAATATAAAATATAATAATGTATTTATTAACATAAAAAATAAGTAAAGTAAAAATGTGCAAAAAATATCAAATAAATAGATTTATCCCAATGTGGGAAATTATTTAGTTACAGAAGCAGTGTGTTCAACATTAAAATACAAATACTTAAATAGAGGAAAAGAGAATTACGAATTAAATGAAAATGAAAAATATCGTATTTTTATAGTAAAAAATCTATAAAAATAAATAAATACTTTATACAAACATAATAAATCAAATAATAAAAATGTAAAAAACAATATATATTACGATATATTTGGAGAGTTTGCTGACCTGTGGGCAGCGCCGCCTTGGCCTGGCTGTAGAACATGACGTAGATCCCGGAGAAGGGAACGTCTCGGAGCAGCGTCGCCATGAAGCCGGAGAACAGAGCGGCCGGACCCTCAGTCACACACACACTGCGCAGAGCCCCACACACACTGCTGTACCTGAACTTGCCACACTGACACACACACACACACACACACGGTTAATGGGTAAATAGTGGTAGCTGTGATAAACAGGAATAAATAAAACGCTACCTTGATTAAAGGTCTCCTATCATGCAAAATGCACTTGTTGATGTCTTTTATACATAAATATGTGTCCCCGGTGTGTCGGGGAACTGACGCAGCGTCAGAAAATAAAACCCTCTCTCTTTTCCTCCGTACCCAAATCTCTAAAAACGGGGGAACAACGGAGCTGATCCAGATTTGCGTCCGATATGACGTAATATCTGAAATGTGGACCCACGGCCCTATCAGAAACGTTGCTATCAGAAAGTTGCTATCAGAAACAATGCCCGACTGTTTTGGACGTAATATGGTCGGTGTTTACATTAGCATCGCTAACACTCAGAGCTAACCTGTACTGGAGAGCATGTGTGTGAAGAAGCAGGAAATAAAAAGGAACTCACCTTGTGGTATAACCGGCAAGAGAGAAAGCCTTTGAGCTCCATACTGTTTCAGAAATAATCCTTGATGTGGTTTGGAACAGGATGGCGTTTAATCACATTTAATTTTTAAAGCTTTATACCCAGAATCAGCACTTTTGAAACAGGAAGTGAAATAGAGGGATATGAGGGATGTCTAAAATGCATGATCTGTTTGGTATTTTGAGCAAAACACTTCATAGACATGTTTTTTTATATATTTGTATATATCTGAGACCTGTAATATATGCCTAAAAAAAGCATGATAGGAGACCTTTAAAATCCCAGTTTCCTCTATGTTTACCCAACACTCACCTCAAAGCGTGTCTTGATAACGGTGACGGGCAGCATGATGACCCCGGCCACAGCTCGGGCCCCCCCCCCCCAGCAGCACCGCCTGCAGGGGCCCCGGCGCTCCGTCCTGGAAGAAGTGCTGCTTCAGAGAGTAGAAGGTGCTGAAGTAGATCCCAACTCCTGGGATGGTGCGGGCGAAAGACTGGAGAGAGAGAGAGAGAGAGAGAATCAGGTTTATTACCAGGTAGGTTGACACAGACGAGAAATGGTGTCTGTTGTGAAAATACTGAATGTTCTCTTCCAATATCAGAGTACACATGATAACAAAGGTATCCCAACTGTAGCTGTGTACATGACAGGATGTATGATTACCTAGAAGAGCATCAGGACTGTTTTAGGCATATGATAGCTATGTGATTAACATGATGATTCAGCCTCTATGGAGATAGACATATGACAAGCATGATCATTTCTGACCTGGAGCTAATCTGAAGTAAACATTGAATACTGCTTTCTATTCCTCCATCTTGTGACTGTGTAACTCCCTCTCTTGGATATCAGCATGTGAAGGACACTGTTCAGGAACTAGTTGATGCTCTGTATGTGATGACTACTTCCATTCTGGATGTATGAAAAAGTGAGAATTCTGAGATTTTGAGAACAAGTGAAAATTTAGAAATCTTGAGAAAAAGTGAGAGTTTTTAGAAAAAGTGAGAATTTTGAGATTTTTTGAAAAGGTGAATTTTGAGAAAAAGTGAGAATTTTGAGAAAAAGTGAGAATTTTGAGAAAAAGACAACATTTTGAGAAAAGGTGAGAATATTGAGATTTTTAGATTTTTTCTGACAGTGTCGTGATGCGTACATAAAAGTAAAACAAAAATTAAAAACACAGATGGAAAACTATTTTAAGAAGATTATAATAACATTAAAAAAATAATGAAATATATAGTAAAATATTTTTTTTTTGTGCATTAATGTAATGCATAGGGTCAATGATGTGGCTGAGGTACTGTGTCAGTAGGGGTCCCGGGTCAGAACAGGGAAAATCTGAATATGTGGACATTTATTCTAAGACTTTTAATAATACAGAGGGGGGGGGGTGGAAAAATAAAGATTAGAGATTTACTAACCGGTGAAACTCCTTTCCAAAGTCCCAGCAGCCTCTCTGTTCGCACCACGCTCAGAAACACCGTCATCATCCCCACCCGGCCAGATCTGAGAGAGGAGAGGCAGACGGGATAAATAATGGGACATAACGAATACCCTCCACATGCTGCATTTGTGATAATAGTCACTATATTTCTCAATTCTGAAAGGAGGTAGAGATCGAAATACCGTTTCCCACAATTCCTATATATATATTTGTTTTTATATTCGGGATTGTGGGAAACGGTATTTTGATCTCTCTGTCTGTATAGAAACTGAAAGATTGACAATAAAGTTGACTTTGACACCGCACACAGGCCCAAAATATTAGGCCTGACCCTAGATGATTCTGTAAAAGCCCAAACCACGAATACATGTGACTGCGGTTGGAAATCATTAATTGATTAGGAGTTGGGACTGTGAGCCATGACCCACTATTTCCAACATTTTGTCTGTTTGAATCTTCTTATGAATCTCAACACTTTCACTTGCAAGTCAGCCCTCACATTTCCCATAATGGAGGATTTTGAAAACCCTCTTTTGAAAAAGTCCCTATATTTTAGGTTTTACTTTCAATCTAGCAGTGTGGGGGTCCGGTGCCTTGCTTTAGGGCACATTGTTAATGCCCAGGAGGCAAACTAATAGCTTTAAAAAAGTCACACTTCCTTTTTGTCCGATTGGGGACTTGAACCAGCGACCCTCTGGTTCCCAGGCCCACTGCTGCGTGAGTGTGTCTCTGTGTGTGTGAGTGCATGTGTGTGTGAGTGTGTATGTGTGTGAGTGTGCGTGTGTGTGTGTGTGTGTGTGTGTGTGTCTGTGTGAGTGAGTGAGAGTGCCTGTGTGCATGTGTGTGTCTGTGTGAGTGAGTGTGTGTGAGAGTGAGTATGTATGTGTGTCTGTGCCTCTCTGCAGGGTCTGTCTGTCTGTGTGTCTCTCTGTCTGTCTGACTGTCTATCTGTCTGTCTGTCTGTCTGTGTCTGTCTGTCTGTGTCTGTCTGTGTCTGTCTGTGTCTGTCCGTCTGTCTGTGTGTCTGTGTGTCTGTGTGTCTGTCTGTCTGTATGTCTGTATGTCTGTCTGTGTGTCTGTGTGTCTGTGTGTCTGTCTGTGTGTCTGTCTGTGTGTCTGTGTGTCTGTCTGACTGTCTGACTGTCTGACTGACTCACCCTGGCAGCCCCCCCCTCTGAAGCGTCTGCAGTCTGGTCTTCACCAGGTCTAGCGGCTGGAAGAGGATCGTGGAGCAGGTCCCGCTGACGGAGCCACACATGAAGGCTTTGAGGGCCGGGTGAACCTGAGGGGGGAGGAGACAAGGGAGGAGGAGACAAGGGGGGAGGAGACAAGGGAGGAGGAGACAAGGGAGGAGGAGACAAGGGGGGAGGAGACAACAGAGACCATTGAGCAACATGTTAGGATAGATCTGCTGCAGGTGACTGATTTGTATTTCACGTGCATCTGAACACATGATGAACTAATGAAAAAGTCAAAGTCAACTTTAGTGACAATTCCTCTATTCGATTCTGTTTCTCTCCATCCCAGAGGATCAAAAATATATGAAAAATAAATATATACATGTGTTAATATATATACATACATACAGAGGTGGGAGAAGTACTCGTATATTGTACTTGAGTAAAAGTAGAAGTACCAGAGTGTAAGAATACTCTGTTACAGTAAAAGTCCTGCATTCAACATTTTACTCAAGTAAAAGTAGAAAAGTATTATCATCAAAATATAGGAGGAGACAAGTGGGGAGGAAGTGAAAGAAAGGGGAGAGAGGAAAGGATATAAGATAAGAAAAGATAGGACTTCATTTATCCCGAAGGAAATTGTTGTGCCAGAGTTACAAAAATCCAATAAACACAGCAGCATAATAAAACTGTCCACTAACAGTGCAGTAAAAAGAGCAATTCAATAACTACAGGAAACACAGACGGTCACATCATTAATGTAAATATTAACAGTATTTAGTAGAGCAAAAAACCGTAGTGGCAGATACGTAATTGCCCGTTATCATAGCACATTATTAATAGAATAGAATAGAAGATAAGATAAGATGGACCTTTATTAACACTGTGGGGAAAGTCAGTAGTTCAAACAGCAACAGGGTGAGAATGAAAAACAGCACAGATTCACACGGATTAGAGATTAATACAATTAAAAGATACAAATACAATTATATAGTTAAAGGTGGGGTAGGTAATTTTGGAGAAACCAGCTCGAGTGCGCTAGAATTTGAAAGTACGCAACCGGAAAAAATCTGCCTCTTCCTTACAGAGCCCCTCCTCCAACACACACGAACGCGCACATGACCAATGAGGGCACGAGATAAGTTTGTGCACGAGATGGAAGGCTGACAGGCAGGTAGGCCATCCAGTTATTTTAGCCGGGCCGGCTCAGATGATTGGTCGTGCTTTTTACAGCGCCACGGCTTCCACAGATGAAATTTTTTAATGGATTTATTGTCAAAGCACTTAATATATTCATTGCTATCGGGATGTTAAGAGCATTCCATGGAATATAGCAAAAAGTGTTTCTGAAGTGAATTACCTACCCCACCTTTAAGTAACTTAAAATAAGAAATGAATTAAAATGAACATATATACATAGTTGGAGACATTGAAGCCTATTGACATTTCATTACACAAAGTTTTTCGAGTATTGTTTATGATTATTTTCAAAGTAGTTGTGCTAGAGAACACTGAGAAATTAAATCATGTTGTCTACTTCTGTAACCACACAGTTTTTCTCCCTAAACTAAATTACCCAGCAGCCTTTCACACTTTATTGTATTGCCGCTCTTTAAAACCACCTCTACACTTTCTGTTTGCTCCTGAAAAAGGGTAAAAAAAAGTCATCAGATTGACGGTAACCCTTCAGAGAGGATGAGGTACAAATGGGCATCTCAACAAAAAAAGATCCTTCTGCTTTTATTTCTAAATACTGCGGCTGGTTTCTAAAGCATTGAATGGTCTCGTGCTAAACTACGGACCCCCCAGGACTCTTAGGTCTTAGAGTCAGAACTGAACATGGAGACGTTCAGTTCTGATGCTCCAAATATCTGGAACAAACTCCCAGAAACCTGCAGGTCCTTTTAAATCCAGGCTGAAGACTTTTCCTTTTGCCGCTGTTTTTAAATTGAATATCTCACACAGCACTGTAACTTTCTCTCATGTGTTTCATACCTGTGTTATTCAAGCTTGTTTCATGGATATGTTATTGTCTTTTGCTTTTTAATGACTGTTTTAATGTCTTTCATTTTTGTAAAGCACTTTGAATTGCCTTCTGTTGAAAGGTGCTATATATAAATAAACATGCCTTGCCTTTAAACTACAAAAGTGTAAACAAATACCTCCTTCATTACAACTAATATCAGATAGACAAAAGGTGTAAATAACTCACCAGAGAAAGTTCCATAGCTCTTCAGGACGATAATAAAAAAACTAAATCTTCTGGTTTTTCTTCTTCTGTCCAGTTGCTGCTCAAACGTTCCCACACCTTAATAACAAAGGTAAAATAAAAAGAGGTGTTTCAGTGAGAAGGTCACACAGTGAGCAGCTGATCTGTGAGAGAGTCTCTGTTACAGGGGATGAAGGAGCATGAGCTTCTTATTACACAGACAGACGCACTGACACGCACACGGGCACACAGTTGAGCAACATGTTATAGGGTAGATCTGCTGCAGGTGACTCTGATTTGTATTTCACGTGCATCTGAACACATGATGAACTAATGAAATACTGCCACACACACACACACACACACACACACACACACACACACACACACACACACACACACACACTTGTATTTCACGTGCATCTGAACACATGATGAGCTAATGAATGACTGCTAATCTACTCAGTAAACAACGTATTTGCAAAATTGGCTCCCCATTGACAATTTATAATATTTAAATAACTCATATTTGTTTGAGATAAGATCAGAATACAAAAATATTCTATGATGATATGAGACTTTTAAAAAGAGTAATTCTACACAATGAGTACTTTTCCTGAGTACTCTAAGTACGTTTTGCTGATTATACTTCTTTGTTTTACAGATGTGTAAAATCAAACGACCTGCAAATAAACAAACAATTTCCAAACCAAAAACTAGAGATGAAAATTGATATACAAGTAAATGAAAGTATTTATGAAGATAGCATAGAATTACCATCCCCAAATTAAAACTTGATTTCCAAATGCGTGTATGAAAGTTGCTATTGTTAGAAAGTTATTAACAATAATGTTCATTTATTTACTAAAAAATGTTTTGATGTAAATTGTTGTTATATTAAAAATGTAAACACGGATGTTGTCGATGTGTTGACATAAACAATATTTTGAAAAACGAATCTATTCTACTTTAAATTAAGTAACATTTTGAACTTTGGACTTTTTTTTTACTTCGATTTTCACTCGAGTAAAAGGACATGTTTTCCATCTCAGGTTTTTCTGCATCTTACCTGTTCAAATACTCTGCAGATTCAGGAGTCTGTTGCAGAGACTGGTGTCACAAGTATGACGCACATTTGGTTAATTAACAGCATAATCCTTCAAAATGTACTAAAAAAGTACAAAATAACACGCTGAATAAAACACAAAAAGCTTGTTTTGAATGCCTCTTGTGTGATAAAAAGATCTCAAAGGGTAAAACTAGAGCACAGACAAAATTGAGCTCCACTTTGTCACATGAAAATGAAAAGTGAACTCTGTTTTTGGAAACTTAAAAACCAGCCGGTTCCGGATTGTTGACGCTGTGTGACGTAAGCACCACCCACCCAGGAGCTGCTGGTTTCTGATTGGCTAAACAGCTTGGCGTAATGTCAGTATTAAAAGCGCAGCACTTTATAAGGTAGCTTAAATATTAGATATAAAGGGCTGGTCCGTGTCTCTTCATTTAAACTGTCTTTCTTTCTTAAACCAGTCAAACGGGAAAGCGACTGCCTTGTTTTTTTACGTTGAGTTTTCTACGTTAAATACTAAAATAGCGAGAGGATGTTTGGCGCGAGGGACGGGACGGTATTCCCTGAAGTAGTTTCAAAAATAAAAGCCCTCTTCTTGTAAACAGATGGATGTAGAGAACAAACCACACTTGATGTTGGAATAACAAGAGAGAGGTCTTAGAGACATGCTTTAATGCCCTCTCAGAGTCTATACTGATAAGACTAGCGTTACAGAGGGCTCTCATAGTTGGGTTTATTCAGAAAGATATTGAAGGATCCATGTTTTGTTAACCAGGCCCATTATTGTAGAGTTAAAACGGGGAGAATTCCAGCAAAGTAGAAGTGAAACCAATGTGAGTTTGGAAAATTGCACAGTATAAATCTATTTTAGTATACCTCAACAATGGAATTATGATCAATAGAAATGGCCATGACATGGGACCTTTAAGTACAGTGCTTCAGTATATGTACATAGGTACCTCCTGCCACCACTGACTACATGAGAGAATACTTAATTCTGTCTTCTTTGACACATGTAATAGTTATAGGAACAGAAACACTACATTTTGTAAGTCATTGTGTTTCATAATGTCATGAAGAAAGGTGTTTAACAGAAGGCTGTCCTTAAAAGATAAAAGTGCAGGTTTAATATGATTAAATAAAACAGTTCTCACCTACATGTCTTCATCCTTGTTTCTATGTTTTACTCACTTTGAGGAGAAACCAGTTCTGACTTGATTGTGTTTTTTATTAAACTCTGACTGCCCTCTGCTGGAGAAAATACATCATGTCATAAACAACCACTTCAGCCTCAAAGGAGACACGTTTTAGACTTAAAACATCATTTTATTTAACAATGAATCACTGGGAATTCAAGTATTGACATAAAAACCAGTGGTGGAAACTAGTGCCGGGCGGTAAACAGTTTCATACCGAATACCGTGAACTTTGCACCGTATGGTATTACATTTTCATATACCTCAACACCTTTAAAGATGGAGACTAAAGAAAATTAGATTTATTTGTTTAAATACTTGAATATTGTCTGTATAGTGTACCTTGGCTTGTAGCAAGGTGTATTAAGTTGCACTAGTTTGAAGGTCAATCATAAAAGTATTTAAATCTGCACTCTCTGTTTCAGGGACAGTGGGATTTGTTTACATTTTCAAACGGTGCTTTTGCTGTGATGTGGTATTCAAAGTTTGCACAATAATATGGTTTACATGTTGCTTTCTGATCCCTTCCCCACATTAGACTCATGAGGGCCACCAAAACTATCCAGGTGTATTTACTACAGTGAAGAGTATAAGTACGCTACAACATTGAGGTACTTGTACTTTGAGTATTTCCATTTTATGCTACTTCCTACTTCGACTCCACTACCTTTGACAGCTTTTTACAGATTCAGATTATTAACTAATACAAAATATAAATAACCGGTACATATAATTATAGGTCAAGATATCCAGCAGCATGTCAAATAATTAACATTAGCTCCACCTTTACCAGCTGTGATGAACACATTAATAATTATAATCCAGTCATTTCATACATGGTTATGAAATGAGTCAGTTCTCTTACTGTACCAATAATAATGTTATTTGGTAGCCTACTTTGAATAAGCCTTGATGCCAAAATGTTTGTACTTTTACTTAGCTATGATTATAAATACAGGACTTTTCTTACATCAGTATGAAATAATAACAAAGACACAGCAGAGGCCTGTACTACGAAGCTGGTTCAACCTAACCTGGATATGTTTGGGTTAGCCGGTTGGCCCAATCCAAAACATACGCGCTCTCGCTAAACTGTACGGCCCAATCCCAAACCACTCCCTCGACCCTACCCCTCCGTGACGGAGTGAACTCCGTCTGTAGCCACACTCGCAGCTCAATGAGGCTCCCTCCTGTCAGATGGAGGGAGTAAATACAGCGGCAAGCTTTGGGACAAACTCCCCTCTCTCCGGCAGAAACAGGAAATGCCGTAACTGTATGTAACAACGGTTTCAAATCAGCATCTCTTAGACAAAAAATGTAAATTAATAACTCAAATAAAACTCCAAACATCTTTCATTGTGTTACTTTTTTTGTAAAGCTCTTTTAGTTTGAAACCTGATGTTTATAAGCTTCTTAGTTTTTGCAACAGTCTGTAAATATACACAACTTTATAATAAAATGCACACATTTACCTTTTTCTAGACTAAACACAGGTATGATCCTAAGTTAAAAAAATATGAGGTTATCATGAGGTTGTTAACATCGCAATTTATCAGTAGATGTTTGCTGGAACTGTTTGTAAACAGCGTGTTTCCTGACGGACACACACAGCGTTGAGACCGGTCAGGTAGGGCAGCAGGGTTGCGGTCGAATACTAAAAAAAAACAGCTCCTAAGTTCTAACCCTATCGTCTATTCCTTGACCTCAGAGTGAAACGTCATGGGGTTAAGGGATAGTGGACAGTTTTCTATACAGCGGACTACAACAGGGATGTTTAATAAGAACGAGGGACTACTGTAAACTCTGCACCGTGCTCTGATGCTGTTGTTTTATGCTTTATGAACGGGGACAACAGAGAAACATATTCTTCATGACCAAAGTTGGAATTGAAATAAAAAAGGAAAGTGAAACTTATGCTCGTCACCCTCTCCCTCCGGTCCACATTAATACAAATGATCCCAATACGTATGATTGTATGAACTATGAAAATATCTTAAAAGCAATACAAATGTATTTATTATAAACGTTAGTCCTTAACATCTATCACTGTGTATATCACTATTCAAACATCTTTTTAAAAGTTGAACAAACCCCACACAGCTCAGTAAAGACTGTGAAATGTTGACTTTATTTGATCATTTCAGTAAAAACTAACGTTCATATTTCTCTTTTTGATTATAATACTGATGAACGTTCAAAACAAAGCACTTTGGCAACTTACCACATACGTTTTAAAATGCTTAATAAGCACCGTAACTTTCATGATATAATTTCTCGTTCATAATCGATTGTTTCCGTGAACGGCCGACTGTTGTGTGACGGCAAATGCCGCGGCCGCAAGGCATTGTGGGGCAGCATTTTCTCCTCTCCTTTCGGTTAGGGAGGTCAAGTGGTTCCTAAGCTAAAGGAGGTTATAAAGGAAGTTTGAAACCTCCTTTCCTTTTAATTTAGAGAATTCGAACGGCACTTATCATGGCTGCCACTGAGGGACTTCCGGGTCATTTCACTCCGTTAGGAAGGTTCCTAAGCTAAATGGACTATTTGACCGCAACCCAGGTGAAGTCAGCACCGATGCAGACTCGCTGTTTGAGGGCTTGATAGCCCACTCCCCCTCCACCCCGCTCCACACTCGTTGGTTTGGAACAGCACTAATGTGGCGGACCCTCCGCGCGAACGCGCAAACGGAGGGGTAGTGTGTAGGGGTAGGGTGTAGGGGGCGGTTTGGGATTGGGCCTACTACGACGCCGGTTATCAAGTGGATCGCTAAAGCCAGCCGTGTCCTATCTAGTTAGGTGCGCGTTCACATGAAAGGGGTGGTATTTGGAGCATTCGACCAATCACAAACATGGACAAGCGTACTGACAGCGCAGCGTCATACTTCCTGAATGAAAAGTGAACTTTAATATTAGTTAAATATGAAGAAGTTAAACTTTAAACATGACTTCAACACTTTATCCAGGATAAAAGCCACATAGCTGCACCTGCAAGGTGAATACAGCTGGTAAAAGAAAAAGTGTTTGAATGCGTACATTAACAGGTTTATGATATCACTGCCCCGTCCAAGACACGAGTGGATCTGACTTTAATTACATTTGACTCGAGTGTTTCGTCAACTTAATGTGTTGCTTAAAATAATACTTCTGCATACAGTATGTGACACTGCGAGTGTTGCACGGCCAGATACGGCTCAAGAAGCTGACTCAAATAAGGAAATATATGATACATTATGATGTGATATGATATGAATGATAATGGGACACATCGAAGTCTGCACTCACAGTGCCGCGGACTGTACTTAATGTTACTCTGATCCGGTTACTTATGTTGTGGCAGATATTTAAAGTGGACCTATCATGCTATATTTAAATGATATATTGTAGGGCCATACCTATATAAGGTATATTTATACGTTTCTGTTTTCAAAATACCAAACAGATCATGCATTTTAGCCATGCCTCATTTCGCTCTATGTGCTGTTTGCTGTCTACGGTCTGATTCTGCTGACCACGCCCCCCTGCAGGAGAGGGGAGACGTGCTCTGATCAGCTGCTGGGCTGTCAGAAGAGGGGGAGAAAAAAAGATCTCCGTCCTCCGTGTTTTATTATATAGAGTCGTTATTCATTTGTTTTAAAGCTCAATAAATAACAAAGAAGACCTTTGACCGGCACTTTTCTAATTTTGTCCGGAAGATTTCAACTTTAACGGACATCTTGACCGGCGAAACAAACTGAAACTGAAACTCTGCCGCACGGTCCCCTCGTTCCTTGGAAGAGGCGGAGAGGTGGGTGTTTGTCATCTGCTGGTGGACTAACCGGAGAGAATTACAGTGCTTGCCTCGACGGGGAGGGATTGCATTGAATTAAAGCAGCGGGAGCAAACGCTTGCCTCGGGGAGGGAGAAAAAAAGCCACAGCGGAGAATAAACAGAAGTGTAACCATGGTAACTATGGGCGGGAAGTCTTCTTCGCTGCTTTTGTGGCAGACTACAGCGCCACTTACAGGCCTGGCATATGTACTACATCGTCTCCAGCGCTTTCGAGCGGCAATGGCCGGCCGTGGCCCAACCCCACATTCCCCTGATAGGTGGAGAGTTGGCCCAATAGCCGTAGCGCCACCGTCCTGACGTCAGTAACGTGTTCAAATCTGGATCAGTTTTTATCAGATCCGTTGCAGCCCCTTTTTTAGAGATTTGGGTATGGAGGAAAATAGAGAGGGTTGTGTTTTCTGACACTTGGTGAGTTCCCTGGAACACCGGGGACACATATTCATGTATAAAAGACGTAC